AGGATGGAATCTCCTGAAAGATTGGAGCAACCTGATGCCCAACTCCTGGCAACCCTCCCGGGAACACTCGCGCCCCACCCCGGTGTGGGGTAGGGCAAGGGCATGGAGAAACTACTGTCTGAAGTGGCAAACCTGTGGCTTCTGTGCTATAGAGAGGACTTGGGTTGCCCAGTTAGGGAGATCAGCGACCATATTTGAGTTTTCCCGTTAGCTTACTGAAAGGAAGTCAGGCACTGAACTATGGTTCTCTGCTGTCTTGCAGAAGCCACAAGAGCATTCTGGAAGACCCTACTCAGGTTAGAGATAGTTCTGCTTGCTTGATATAACAGGTTATCTTTCTTTTTGTTTGCTAATCCTTACCAGAGGATATTTTTCCATTGATTTTTAGAGAGAGTGGAAGGGAGGGGGAGAGACACAGAGAGAGAAACATCGATGGGAGAGAGACACATCGATTGGTTGCCTCGTGCACTTGGCCCTTGACCGGAATTGAACCTGGGAACCTTGGTCTGAGGGCCGATGTTCTATCCACTGAGCCAAACTGGCTAGGGCCACAGTTTATCTTTCAATATAACTGTTCTTCTCCTCTCCTAAGCACCCAAAGAAACCAAAACAGACCTGCTACATTAGTGTCTCTCAACTAAAGGCAGTTTGGTTCCCAAGGGACATTTAGCAGCGTCTGGAGACATTTTGGGTCGACACAGTTTTGTGTTTGGGGGATGCTATTGGATCTAGCCAGTGAGCTACATATAGCTACTACATAGAGTGAGCAGGAAAGCGCCCCTACCCCAAGAATTTTCTGGCCCCAGTATCACTGGTGCGGAAGTTGAGAGCCTTTGGTCTAGATAAGGTTACCTTTTCGTGCCCCCATCTGGTGTATTTCTCGTGTCTTCCTAATGCCCAGATTTTTTCCCCTCCAGCTTTATGCATTAAGCAGGAATTAATTTTGAACTACAGAGAATATTCTCTCAGGGTTCACTCAATCAGAATCTCTTCTGAATCCATCATCCTCTTACAGGGGGCACAGGGACAGGAGAAAGTTCAGATAAGTTTTTTTTTGAATTTTATTTTCAGTTACAGTTTACACTCGATATAATTTTGTGCTAGTTTCAGGTGTACAGCGTAGTGGTTAGAAGAAGCGTACACTTTACAGAGTGATCCCCGATATTTCAAGTATCCACTGGCACCATACATTAGCAATACAGTATAGTGACTATATTTATTTCCTATGCTGTATTTATATCCCTGTGACTGTTTTTAAAAAAAATATGTTTTTAGTGATTTTAGAGAGAAAGGAAGGGAGAGAAACATCTATCAGTTCCCTCCTGCATTCACCCTGACCCTGACTGGGGATCAAACCCACCATCTGGGCATGTGTCCTGACTGGGAATCAAACCCGTGACCTTTTGATGCACAGGACGATGCACAACCAGCTGAGCCACACCAGCCAGGGCCCTGTGACTGTTCTGTAACGACCAATTTGTACTTCTGAATCCCTTCACCTTTTCCATCCAGTTCCCCCAGAGAAGTCTTTTTAACCTGGTTTTCTCACCAAGTAAGACTAGTGGTGTCTACCCCGAGTACCCCTCTGGGTGGCTGTGAGGATAAAGTGGAGGTGGTGTGTGTGACAGTATGCTGAAAACCATAACGTGGAAGAATATCGGAGTGGTGTTACTCTGGAAACCAAGTAAATGGTCTGTCTTAACTGTTGGAGTGACACAGGGACATAACTGGGCTCAAGAGCCGTGTATTCCCTGCAGCCAGGTTTTAGAGGACTGGCTTATCTGTGTCTCTGGGCTTGGAGCCATTTTCTTAAACGAGTAAGCCTACTTTCTTGGCTGCAAACGCCTGTTCGAGTTTTATTGGGCTTTGATGCACTCGGGCAAATGGATCCCTTTAGTCAGGTAACAATTTTGGTCCCTAACTTGGGGCTTTTTTGCCTGTGGGTTTGGTGATCCTGGCTTGGAGCTTGCCACCAGGCCCCTGCCTAGCAGCTGCCCAGGACCTATTGTCTTGGAAAGGGAGGCTGGATGGCAGTCCGTGACCGGGCGCCCCCTGCCTATGGCACTTTTGTTTGCAGCATGAGAAATGAGGAATTGAAAAGGATTTGCTCTGCTTTTGGAAATTGGAGATGTCCTTTGCCCCAGGCCCATGAAAGTGGATAAACACTGCCTATCACACCATCGTGAAACTATAGACAGAAAAATGCCATGGTTGACTGACATCAGGACCTGATACAAGATCAACCAATCAGTACAGCCCAGGACCCCAACTCCCTTAAATCACCATGATTTTTATTTTCTGGTCAATGGATTTTATTTTCCTTTTTGAATGAACAGTAGCCATATAAGATTTATTAAACCAGTAATGAAAACATGTTACTGGTTTGTCAATAGACAGACAAAAAGTTCAGACACTGACTCAAATACATATGGAAATTTAGGAAGCCAATTTAATCAGAGAATAACAAGATAGATTATCTTGTTGGACCTTTAACTTTTTCTTATTTCTCTAAATTTTTTATTCTTTTTTAAAATATTTAATAACGATAATTAATTTTTCCTGTATATAATATGTCCCCGTGTGGGCCATCGGGGAAGCCAGGTTTTAGAGCCCTAGCTTACCTCTGTCCCTAGGTTTGGTGCCATTACCTTGAAGTAATAATCCTCTACTTTCCTTGTTGCATGCTCCCCCGCCCCTCAGTGCAATCACTCTTGAAAGTCTTAGTTGTTTCCTTAGTAGAAATGAGAGTAGGAGCTTTAGAAGGATTGGATAATGAGGATCTGCCAGGCATCTATGAGGCTCTTTATCAAGGAAGAGCAGGCATTTAGAGCATTAAAACCTCATAATAAAAACCAGGAACAAGACCTAGGTGCCTGCAATCTTGGCCACTTTTCCCCATTATCCTGGGGGTTCTAGCCAGAAAGTCCGGCCAGCCTGGCTCAGTGGTTGAGTGTAGATCGGTGAGTTAGGAGGTCACGGTTTGATTCCTGGTCAGGGCACATGCCAGGTTGTGGGCTTGATCCCAGGTGTGGGTTGTGCAGGAGGTGGCCGATCTCCTGATTAGAGATAATCATTGATGGTTTTCTTTCTCCCTCTCCGAAATCAATAAAAATATTTTTAAAAAATAAGGAAAAAAGAAAAGTAATGTGATGATATGAGGCATGAATGGACAAAACTGACATTACTCAGAGATAAGTTTTTTTTTGTTGTTAATCCTCACTGATGATATTTTCCCATTGATTCTTAGAGAGAGGGGAAGGGAGGGAAGAGGAAGAAGGGAGGGGGAGGGAGAGAGAAACATTGATGTGAAAGAGACACATTAATTGGTTGCATCCCACACACTGGATCAAACCTGCAACTCGGGGACATGCCCTTGACTGGAAATTGAACCCGTGACCTTTTGGTGTGTGGGTCAACATTATAACCATGAAAAACACTGGCCAGTGCCTCAGAGAGAAGATTTTTTTTTAAATATATTTTTTATTGATTTTTTACAGAGAGGAAGGGAGAGAGATAGAGAGTTAGAAACATCGATGAGAGAGAAACATCGATCAGCTGCCTCCCCGCACATCTCTTACTGGGGATGTGCCCGCAACCAAGGTACATGCCCTTGACCGGAATCAAACCTGGGACCCTTCAGTCTGCAGGCCGACACTCTATCCACTGAGCCAAACTGGTTTCGGCCTCAGAGATAAGATTTTTTAATCAATAAAATATTAGGACTGTTTATATGTGAGGACAATTAAAAAATCTAGCAGCATTTCTGTGTACCACCAAAAACTATTTAGAAAATATAATAGAAAAAGATGCCATTAACAGTACCAACAAACATTATGCAGTCTCTAACCAGTATATGAGATCTTTATGGAGGAAACTGTAATGTTTTAATGAAGAACAAGAAAAAGGAGGTTATACAAGGAGGCTTATTCAGAGGTTAGGTACTAGGGTTGTGACTAAGCTATTGTGCATGGAATCGAGGCCGGAAGTGGATGGAGGAGCCTTCTTAAGGTCACATGGCCAGTTACCCCAGGTCATTTTGATGTTTACCACCAGACTATCGACTTCCAAAGCAGGATTTCTTACTGGTTTCCGATAGACATTTTCCTAACGAGTTTCATCTGAGGGATTTTATGTGCTTGGAGTGTGGCTTTGCTGGATTCTATATTATATCAGTAGGGAACTGTTGCTCTTGGTATTTCGGGATAAGATGGGGTCTGGCTCCTGTGAATTGGCTGCCCATCTCATCTTTCTGCCATTGTTGGTCCTAAGTAGGTGATGTAGCTCCGGGTCGATGGGGACCTACCATGTTTAAGAATCACGGCTTCAGGAAGCCTCTTGTTGGCTCATAGTATTATTATATGCATTCAGGGTAGACGTACTAGTAAAAAGTGGGTGATCGTTCTTTAGTGACTCAAATCCAATGGATCTATTCTCCAAAAGCCTGATGTTGAAAGAATCCCAGGGCAAACTAACATTATTTTGTTGGCTTTGCACATTTAGACTTCCATATATTGGACTCTTAACTATATCAGCAATATTAGTAATGGTGGCACTGTGTTAAATGCATGCATTGTATCATCCCATTTAATCCCGACCACAATACCATGAAGTTAAGTATTATCATGCCCATTTTACAGATGAGAAAATTGAAGCCGAGAGGTTAAGAGACCTCTCCAGGGTCATGTAGCTGGCAGAGCTAAAATTTAAACTCGGGTATGCCTGGGTTGTAGCCATTTTGCTATCCTGCTATAGGGCTGCCTATTAATTCTTAGACATTAGTGTTTTAATCTATGTCCTCTTAAAATAGAAGCAAGAAAAACATCTTAATATGTAATGATCTGTAAACCATGTATTGAGTAGTGTAATCCAGGGTGGCTTTTTAATGACTGTATGAAATGCTGTAATTGTCTTTTGTTGTTTCTTGATGTGTTTGTTAAAATTCCTTTTGAGAATGCACATTTGTTTTGAAACCAAACCTGTCTTTCTTGCCTACATTTCAGTCAGAACTAAGACATGGTCCGTTTTACTATATGAAGCAGCCACTCACCACAGACCCTGTTGATGTTGTACCGCAGGATGGACGGAATGATTTCTACTGCTGGGTTTGTCACCGGGAAGGCCAAGTCCTTTGCTGTGAGCTCTGTCCCCGGGTTTATCACGCTAAGTGTCTGAGACTGACATCGGAACCAGAGGGGGACTGGTTTTGTCCTGAATGTGAGGTCAGTTTCTGATGAATGAATGCATTCTCTGCCTGGTTTCTTCTCCTTTCTCTTTCTCCCTTATATTTTCAACTCTTCAAATCATCAAGATACAGGGAAAAGAGAAATTTCTTGCCTTCCACCTGCTCTATCCTAGTCATCCATCTCCTTTTTGGACCAACATTGGCAGTTGGTCCAAGTGGCCTCTTGGAAAGACATTCTTTTTGATTCCTCATGGGTCTTTGGATCGCTTTGAGATCCACAACCTTCTCTTTTGTAATGAACATTCCAGAAGTTAACTTAGGCATCTTTACCTATTTTGAAAAGATCTCATGCTATTTTTCCCTTTCTTGCATGTTGTCTCCTGCTTCATCATTGAATCGTCGGCAGTAGCCATGCTAGGAAGACCAATTTTGGTTGTATAATCTGTGTGGTTGCCATCTGATGCTTCCGTTCTGGCAACATCTGCTTCTTCTGTGCTTCTTCGGTGCTAGGGAATCAGCAGTTAAGAAAAAGAGGCAAGAATCACATTCTTTTCAGGAGGAAAGGGCAGAAACCAGGCTAGATAAAGTTACATACAGTGTGTTAGAGGAAGAGTGTTCTGGAGAGAACGAATTGACGATGAGGAATAGGGAGTGAGGAGGGCGCAGGGTGTTCCCATTTTAAATGAGGAGACCCAGGAAGCCTTACTAAGATTTGAGAAAGATGTGAAGAGGAGGAGTGAAGACCCTCCAGGCAGAGGGGCAGCAAGTTTAGGACCCCAGGCAGAAAGAAGCCACTGGCACAGTGAAGGGAATGTTGTATTTCATTTGTAGCAAAATCTAAACACTCCTTAAAACAGTTGGGGTGGTTTCCGCTGTTCTGAAGTGCCTTCTGTTCTTGGTGATTTCCAACTAGGATGCTTTTCAAAATGCTGAAAATAATGTCGTCTATAGAATCATTTCCTGTGGAATGTCACGTGATCCAAAGGATCTGTTGGCATTAGATCTCAAACGAGGGAAGCTTTCTATGTGTGAAATGGAAAGTTCGCCCAGATGTTATTTGTGCGGGGGGAAAAAAAGCAAGCTATGTATAGGATAGTGTCTGCGGTGCCACTTTGTGTAGGAAAAGGAGAAATATAAGAAATTAGACTTTCATCCAATAGGATGATGACATTTTAATGGTGTTCTGCCCCTGAAATTGCAAACGATGGCCTCTGGTTCGCTTTGGGTTACTCTAGATCAGTGGTCGCCATCCGGTGGTCCGAGGACCACTGGTGGTCTGCGAGGTCCTAAAGGTTGGCGACCGCTGCTCTAGATGGAGAGATGTGCAGGCATGTTTTACTCAGCCAAACCCTCTTGGTCAGAGCCTCACCTCATTCTGCATTTAGTATGGGAACTGGAGCCTTCACCTATTTCCTTTTGTCTTGACCAACCCTCCCTTCCTTCATTTTGCAAAAAAGATAGTGGCTCAGAGAGGATGTTTTTGCTGCAAATAATAGATCTTGATGAAAGGTGACAGAGAAACAAGAGGGTTTTATTAGCATGTGTAGGAAAAACCCAGAGGCAGGGCCAGGCCAGCGTTTGTTCAGAGCCAGACTCTTTCCATTCCATCGTTAGGGCCATGTGTCCCTGCATGGCCCTACGATGGCTGCTGGGGATTTGATGACAGTGGCTAACAAAAATCCCCTAAAAGGAGTGTCCCTCTTCACGTCCCTTTTTATCAAGCAGACTTGCTCTTCAGTTCATTGGTCAGGATTGGATCACCAGTCCTTACGCAAAAAAGGCTTGAAAAATGCTCATCTGGCACTTTCCATCTATATCGTGGGAACCGGGCACTGCCAGCCAGGAGGGCAGAGAAGAGGTTGGGGGGAGGGGGGCAGAGGAGGCGAATGGCAGTTGAGCATGCAACCCAAGTGTTCGCCATGGATCGGTTACCTGGAAACGCACGGGAATTCAAACAAACAGGAGTGCTGTGTCTAAGATTTCAAGCCCCGGTTTCCTTGCGGGGTGACTTGGTAGGGCAGTCAGCTGAGAAGACGAGCTCTTTCAGGCGCTGGTAGCCAAGCGATTAGAGACGTGCGTCACGGACTGTGTTCGGCTTCAGAGCCACTTTCTGTTGCCCTTTTCCTCGACAACCAGACACGTCTCTGCAAGTTCCTTTTGGAGCATCCAGAGACAGGAAGAATGGACATGAAGTCCCAATCAATTGGAGAAAACTTTCTCAGCTCTCTCGACACAGATGGCTCAAGAGCGTCCCCTGCCACCGTCAGCCTTGCTGTTTTTGTTGTCTTTGCCGCCTGAGGATGCTGAAGCTCTGAGATGTAGCACCACCAGATTTACGTAGCAGAATCCAGTTTCAGGCATTTCTCCGGGTCTCTTCTTGGATGGGAGTTTCCCTCACAAAGTGGCATTTATTGCCCATGGAGCTAAACAGCTAGGCTATTCTTCTTGTGCAGTTTGCCAGAGTGTCCTAAGTGAGTTCCCATCAGTGGTGATAGAGAACTAAGTCATATTTATTATTCGCCACCATCCCTTGGATTCATGCTTTCTCTCAGTGATGTCACTGGGTGAATGCCTTGTCAATTTCCTGACAGACAGCCCTGAACCTTAAGAACATCAAGATAAGTGGTTGATTCATTATATGAAGAGATTACCCTGAAAGCATCAGTGGCCTTTTCTCTTATCCCATTCTTGGAATTCAAGATCGTAATGATGGCGATTTTCAGGTCCCTGCCTAGCTGCAAGCATCTTTCTCAGCTTCTGTCATCTTCATGAGCACAGGGCACTTCTAATAAGGTAGTCAGTGGATTTGTGTGCTTCTGACCTTTATCCATTGATCCAGTAAACTCCAAGTAGATTGGAGTCCTTGTCAAGTGAAACAACTATAGTCTCACTTGGAAATTATTTCCTTCTATGTGCGAGCTAACTGGAAAGTTAGGAGGAAAAGGAAATCAGTCTGTGGATAGTAACTTTTTCCCTAACTGTCCCTCTGTGTGGTTTGACTTGTAGAAGATTACAGTAGCAGAATGCATCGAGACCCAGAGCAAAGCTATGACAATGCTCACCATCGAACAGTTGTCCTACCTGCTCAAGTTTGCCATTCAGAAAATGAAACAGCCAGGGGTAAGAAGAAAGTTCCTCGTGGTATAAGTGTAAATGGAAGTAGTGACTTTTGTTCTATTAACCTCTTTTAAAAAAAATCTATATCTTTTAAATTAATATATTTTTATTGATTTCAGAGAGGAAGGGAGAGGGTGAGAGAGAAACATCAATGATGAGAGAGAATCATTAACTGGCTGCCTCCTGCATGGCCCCCACTGGGGACTGAGCCTGCAACCCAGGCATGTGCCCTGACCGGGAATTGAACCGGTCGAGCCGTGACCTCCTGGCTCATAGTCGATGCCCAACCCCTGAGCCAAGCCAGTTGGGCTGTTCTGTTAAACTCTTATTCCATAATAGCTTTAGCTATGTGTGCTCTTTAGGCCTTCTTACGTGCCCGAATTCAAACAGCTGAAAGTGAAATGTAAGTTATGACAGCATTCAGTTTTCTATAATGAGCACTCTGTGTCCTCAAGGACTTTAGTTGGGAAATGACATATAGTGGAGAAACTTGATGGGGATTTAAAATTCTGATTGGTTATGTAGTGTAAACTCCCTCATACCCCATCGAGTAAGGGGGATTTTACTCCTTCCCACGTGAGCTGGTAAACTTCCATTGCGATGAGAGACCTGAGTACAACCCAGTTGATTTATAATCAAGGTCTGATGATGAAACCTTCAAGTAAAATTCAGCCAGTGCGGCTTCCCATACAGGGTGAGAATTTGATTAGTTCCTTCAATGTTTAAATAGGATTTGATGTACGGACCCTTCCCCTTAAGGAAAATTTTATTTATTGACTTGAGAGAGACAGAGAGATAGAGAGATATCAATTTGTTTTTCCACTTATTGACGTATTAATTGATTGGTCCTGACTGGGGATCGAACTTGCAACCTTGGCGTATTGGGATGGCGCTCTAACCAACTGAGCAACCCGGCCAGGGCGAAGAAAATCTATGTGGAAGCAGGGCTGCCACAGTCGGCTGGCAAATTGTGCACTTCACCTGGTTTCCCTCCTGAGTGCCAGTCTGATCATAGCCAAGGAGGTTTTAGATTTCTTGTGACAGTTTTCAGGAAGATGGCAGTAAAATACCTTTCTTCTAAAAATAATCCATATATTATGCCATTATAATCAACATATTATGAAATTTTTTCCTACAGAAACTTGAAGATGGAGTTCTCTTTTTCTCATTTGCACCAGTAGCGAACCTTTGTGACTGTTTGGAGTTTGCTTTCTAAGTCCAAAGAATCTATAGAAATGTAGAATATTTAGTAACCACTGTGGTTTAATTTCTTTTAAAAAAGTACGCTTTAGCTTTGAGTTTTCACATAGTGGAAAAAAATTTTTTTTTAAACTATATGTTATTGATTTTTTACAGAGAGGAAGGGAGAGAGAGAGTTAGAAATATTGATGAGAGAGAAACATCGATCAGCTGCCTCCTGCACAACCCCTCCTGGGGATGTGCCCGCAACCAAGGTACATCCCTTGACCGGAATCGAACCTGGGACCCGTCAGTCCACAGGTCGATGCTCTATCCACTGAGCCAAACCGGTTAGGCGACATAGTGAAATTTGATATTATGATGGAAAAGATTGAGAGTGTGCCAATTAAGTATTGCTAAATTGTAACCTATTTTTCTCTTTATTAAAATGTTCATCAATGGAAGCAAAAGTGAATAGCCTCAGTTTGGTTAAAAAGACAGATGTTTTAAAAACTATGGAGTTTTCTATTTTTAGTGACAAGGAATTACTTCCTGTTTTTCATAGGCTGGATTAATTATATCTGCTGAGGACTGTTTATAAGAAGAATAATTATGTAGACTTGTCAACACTGTAGAATGATAAACCACAAAGAAAAATTGGATAGGGTGTTAATTTCTCACATAAATTCTTTGATATAAAATCAGTCAGTTCAGAAAGTTGCTGATTTTTGTGGCAGCATCTTTTAAAAAATATTTTTATTGATTTCAGAGAGGAAGGGAGAGAGATAGAAACATCGATGATGAGAGAGAATCATTGATCTGCTGCCTCCTGCACGCCCCCTACTGGGGGTCGAGCCTGCAACCCGGGCATGTGCCCTTGACCGGACTCGAACCAGGGACCCTCAGTCTGCAGGCTGATGCTCTACCAACTGAGCCAAACTGGCTAGGGCTGTGGTAGGTAGTATCTTTTAAACTTACAATGGTCACGCATTCATTCTGGATAAAAGGCTCAGCTGACTGCAAATGGTAATCCACTCAGATCCCTTGCTTATTTTGGTATTTATAACTAAATCTTTTAATTTCCTTTTTTTTTTTATTATTGATAACTAAATACCTCCCATCAACAAATCAGGCTTATTTTTTTAGCCGATTCACGTAGGGCTTAAGACAGTGGATCAAAATGAGAAACGTACATAGTTCCTGTGCTGAGGGTAACTGGGCTTTTTAAAGGGGAAGCAAAACCTTGCTGTTTAAATTTTTTTCCCACATGCAAAATATCTGCCGGCACTTTGGGAACTTTATTTGGAGTGTCATTTTTCGTCCTCAGTCAGTTTTGATTACGGGTATTTGCAGTGTATACATAAACTTCGTTCAAAGTTCAGGTCTAAAGGAACTGATAGTTGTTCTTGTCAATCTTAATACAGGGTGGGGCAAAAGTAGGTTTACAGCTGCGAGTACGTGAAACACAGACTTCATTCTCGTATCACTGTTTATTGTTATTTTCCGTGGGAACAACTGCGGACCGACGTTTGCCCCACCCTGTATAAGAAGAACAGGACCTGTTATTTGCATATATCTTGAAAAGGGAGCAAATAAAACCAGAACACAGCTGGGTCCATGATTATTGATCAAAAGGCGGAATTAGAAGGGGAACTGATTTGGAGCGCTCCTCAGGGTCATTCTTTGTGAAAACTTCAAAGCCTGTTGTCTGAAAAGTTGTTTCCAGTTTAAAGTGCTTTGCTGGCCTTAATGCTTGGTCTTCCCCAGCAATAATGGTTTGTGTCTGTGTGTGCACGTCTTTTCCCTTATAGACAGACGCATTCCAGAAGCCTGTTCCGTTGGAACAGCATCCCGACTACGCAGAATACATCTTCCACCCCATGGACCTTTGTACATTGGAAAAGGTTGGCCTCCATCAAAGAACCTCACCGTTGTGTAGCCCACGGTTGTCGAGATGACTGAGGATCCGCCCTCATTTTTCGTGCCCCATCTCAACATGGTTTTTCTACGTGTCCTCTGTGAATTTTTATTGGGATGGAAGAACTTTTATTTCCTAACTTCTTCTGTAACATTTTTGCAGGGATTGCAATGGAGTGTTGCAGTCCACGGATAAGCTCCAAATATTACTTCTGCTTGCGATTCTTCACCTGAAAAAGTCATAGCTTCTAAGAATTAGTGATTTGATGGATTTGAGCCTTACCTCTTCTCTTCCTCTCGGAGGTGCTAATGAGAGCAGCAGGAGGGCAGAAGAGAAAATTAAGTGTCTGGGAAACGTTCACATTAGCAGTGCATTTATGGCTTCATAGAACTTGACTTCTTTTACTGATAAGGGTGTTTCTTTAATGCCTGGAGGTGTTTTTAAAATTCATGCTAAATCTCCATGCTGAAAAGGACACTTGCAAACTGTTAGATTGTGCACAACATCCTGTGTTGATTTTCAGATTGTTGACACCAAAATCTGGGTCAAGAAAGCATGGATGAGGGGAAAGCATATGTGCACTGATGATCCCTAAACAGTTAATCCAACCTGCTTTTGGAAAATTGCACACATCCTCATGGTATTCCAAGAAGCAGGCATTCAAAAAAGGCAGGGTTGGAATTCTAGCTTCATAAATTAATAGCTTTGGAACTCTGCATACGTTCCTTAACATTCCCATACCTTGGCCCACCTGTCTGTAAAATGGGGATGATAATGACTGCTTCATCGAGTTCTCAATCATGAGGCTTATGGGAGACTATTACAAATAATAACAAATACTTAAGTATATGTTATGTCCTGTTCCATTGGAATAAGCTTCTGTAAAATGAGAAAATTCGGGTTAGTGTGATAAATTCAGTGGATGCGTTTTTATGGAGTTATAGATCTCCACTACAATAGCATCTTGGGAAACGAGTAAAAGCATTCATTAATTTGGCAAATGACTGCTAAGAAAATTATGTGGGGGTGCAGGTGCTACTGGCTGTGGCTTGTGTAGACTCGGTGGTGATTATGCTCTGGCTTGTCTCTGCAGAACGCTAAGAAGAAAATGTATGGCTGCACAGAGGCCTTCCTGGCTGATGCCAAGTGGATTTTGCACAACTGCATCATTTATAATGGGGGTGAGTGCGGAGATGGTGCCTGTAAAAGAGTATGCTGTGTGTGTTGCCCCTTCTTCCGCTCTTCATAAAAAATCAGGCTCTTTTCTCATGCATCAGGGCCAATACCTTCAAATACTTGTGTAGGGATTGCTAATATTTGTGAATAGGGGGCTGGTGAACTGTATTTGAAGTATGAGTTGACATCCAAACTGGCTGTGTGATGCTGCTGCCTGTCCTTTTTAAAAACTTCATTCTAATGGAGGAATAATTACATAAGATACAAGGTACAGATTTTACGTGTATATTCTATGGATTTGACATATGTGTAACCACAACCCCAAATAAGATGTAGAATTTTTTCATCATCCTATTATATTCCCTCTTTGCCCTTTCCAGTAAATCCGGCCTACTGTTCTGCTCTCTGTCACTGTAGATTAGTTTTGCATATTGTAGATTTTCATGTAAATGGAGTCATAGAGATTGCATTGCACTCTTTGGTGTCTGGCTTCTTGAATGCGGCATAAGATTTTTGGGATTCATCCATGTTGTGTGTGTCAGTGGTTCATTTCTTTTTATTGCTGTGTGTGTTTGTTTTATCAAAATAGAATTTATTCATTCACCTTGTTGTTGATGGGTATTTGTGTTGTTTTTAGCTTTTGGTTGTTAGGAACGAAGTTGCTGTGAGCATTCTTGTACACGTCTTTGTGTGGACATATGTTTTCATTTCTCTTGGGTAAAAACCTAGAAGGGGTATTGCTAGGTCACGGAATAGGTTGTATTTGAGTTTATAAGTGTTTTTTGCCAAACTGTTTTTGCAAAGTGGTGTGTCATTTTGCACTCCTTCTAACAGTGGATATGAGCCTTAGTTGCATCATATTCTTGTCAACACTTGGTATTGTTAGTCTTTTTAATTTTAGCCATTCTTGAAGGTATGAAATATTATGTCATAGTGGTTTTAATTTGTCTTCCTGTAAGGACTCATGGTATTGAGGTTTTTTTTGTGTGTGCTTATAAGTCATTTGTATATTTTTTGGTAAACTACCTTTTAAAATCTTTTGCTCCTTTAAAAAATTGGATTTTTGTGTTTTATTATTGAGTTGTAGGAGAGCTTTATATTCTGAATAAAGTTTTGTCAGTTGTTTTGTCAGTTGTGTTGTGTAGATTTAGGGGATCGAGCCTTCTCAACAGAGAAATCTCCTCTTGGCATCTTATGGCCTCAACTTCTCTCCCACAATCCTGTCTGTTTACCTCTGGCCAGCAGATCTTTCAGGGTCCTGCCCGATCCTGTTTCTCTCGCCCCCAGGTCTTGTTCCCTGCTGGAACAGGCTTTACCTCTTTTTCCTGTTGGCTTTTTCTTATTCTCGTGTCTCAGTTTCTCAGTTCTCTGAAGAGCTTTTCCTGGTGAACTAGACCATATCATATGTTATGGTTAAGGGCTGCCACAGAACCTGCCCTTCCTGCGGCAGCGTTTCTTACCCTTTCTGGATGGTACTGTTTTTATTTGTTTGAGTTGCTTACCAGGATGTAAGCTCTTTAAGGGCAAGCACCATGTCTTGTTCCCTGCATACCCTTGGGTCTAGCATAGACTTTTAGGTAATGTTTAAGAAAAGACGCATGAATGGTAGATGTTTACTTACACCACATGTTTTGCTCAGTAGCAGGTCAGGGTCTAGGGAGGGAAGAGAGTCACGGGGCATTGAGAATTTAGATAAAGATTATAAACTCAAACCTATAAACAAGTGAATGAGGACTGGTGAGCGAAACACATCGGCACAGCCAGGGTTAGGCACTGACTGTGGGGAGAGCAGGATACTATGGGGTTGCCTACCTCCTGGTGGGGTTCCTACCTGGTCTGGCGGGGCTGCCACTGGATACTCCATGGTTGTTGGACACAGTTATCAGATCCCCTGAGTTTTCAAGGCAAGCCAGAAATCTAGGTGCTTATGTGTGTGTGAAATCTTTTTGTCAGCAAACATACAATTTCTGAAAATAGGGTAACATTTGAAGAAAACATGGATTTCTAACCATCTTGTCCTCTGGTTTAGTGCAAAGGTAAGGGATTTAGAATCCTGGGGCCAGATCTTTAACTCACTAGCTAAGTGGGCTAGTGATGACTCCTGAGCCTTGGCTAGCCCAGTAATGAAATGGGAATATTCCTACCTGCTCCCCATATTATGGTTTCTTGAGGGGTTAACAACAAAATGTATTTTCAGGCACTGGGTACACCAGAGCTATGTAATTCAGTGTCTTTTCCCCCCCGTACTCTTCTTGGATGGAGTCTGGGACAGTGGGTAGAGGAGGACTCCTTTCCACTAACTTAAGCCTTTAAAATGTAAAAAAGCATCTTTACTTTTTAAAAATATTTTTTATTGATTTCAGAGAGGAAGGGAGAGGGAGAGAGAGATAGAAACATCAGTGATGAGAGAGAATCATTGATTGGCTGCCTCCTACATGCCCCATACTGGGGATCGAGCCCACAACCCAGGCACATGCCCTGATCGGGAATTGAACCGTGTCCTCCTGGTTCATAGGTCAATACTCAACCACTGAGCCACGCCGGCTGGACTGTAAAAGCATCTTTAGATATGAATCCATGACTTGTAGGGAAACGCCACAAATTGCTCAATTTCAGAAAAGCTGACATCAAGGCACAAAGACTGGCTGATAGTCATGGAGACTACACACAATTTGACGGGTATTAGAAGCCAGAACCTCCTGGTTTTAGCCTTTAAAAGTTTCATCGTGGGGGAAAGCAAGTTAAAAGGTTGTTAGTGGGAATAAAATCCCAGGACTGGGCATAAACATGCTTCCATTTGAATTAATCCAATTTTCTTATTCCCTTAGGAAATCACAAATTGACGCAAATAGCGAAAATAGTCATCAAAATCTGTGAGCATGAGGTATGTGTTTCCCACTGTCGTGTTTTAAACGTGTCCAGAGTGAGGATAGGGTGGCTGAAGTTTGCATGTGCAGGATCTCCCAGTGGGTAGCCAGAGCGGCTTTAGAATTTGTTTAGGCACAGGTGGCTCCCTCTCTCTTTAAAGAAAAGTAAAAGCAACTAGGAGGGGACCCCCATATGTTATAGAGCACCCACACCTTAGCCATGATCTAAAGGAGATGGTTCATAATTTCTTCACCCACAGCCTGTGGCACTGAGTCAGGTCCTTTTCAGTCTTCCTGCAGAAGATGTTTGACATTATTTGGGGAAAGGTGCTGACTCTTTCTCACAGAGCAGCCCCGGTGTCCTGGAGAGTCGGTTCCTTTCGCAAATACCAATAGGCTCGATGGTGTGGATGACCAGTCTCCTGGCTGTGCGCCCTGAGGTTGTGGGACAGGCTTGTGGCAGAAACGGTTTCTTTATTAGATCCCCATCGTAAGCGTGAAAAACTGCGATGCAATGGCCTCCACCCTGTCTGTGTACATCCATTCATTCATTCATTCAGAAAAAATCTGGATACTGCAGGATATGTTCATGTCTCCATGTTCACATGGAAAGAGTTTTATAATCTACGTTTTTCACGTAGTTTGAATGTTTTCCCAGGTGATTAAACACACAGGGAGAACAGGTTTTTTTCATGGCTGTTCTGATGATTTCCTTAGTATAATTGTTGGAAACGTACCTACCAGGTCCAAGGCAGTAACTTAGGGTGATATTTCTGGATTGTCTTTTGGAAAAGCTGTAGCAACTTATACAACAACCTGGAATGGATGAGCGTGGTCGTTTCTCTGTGCTTTTTCTAATACTGGAAGTTCTAATGAGGAAAAATACACTTACATAAGCTTGCCTTCAGTGCGATCAGTAAGAACAGTGGCACCTCACTGTGCCTTTGGTTTGCATTTCTCTGATGAGAAGTGATCATGGACTGTTTTTGATACTGTTAATTGGTGATTAGGAGATTTGTGTGGGTGAATTTTTCAGTTGTTTCCTTGGGTAAGGGGAGTAAAGGCCTTTAATTGGTGGGGTGCCCCCAGGTGGAATTTATTGAACCTGGACACTCTTTTATTAAAAAAAAATCTTTTATTGATTTCAGAGAGGAAGAAAGAGGGAGAGAGATATAGAAACATCAATGAATAGAGAGAGTCATTGATTGGCTGCCTCCTGCACATCCCCTACTAGTAATGGAGCCTGCAATCCCTGGCATGTGCCCTTGACCGGAATCGAACCCTGGACCCTTCAGTCCTTAGGCCGACGCTGTATCCACTGGACCAAATCAGCTAGGGCTTGTCTGACATTTTTCGGCAAATTAAAAAAAACAACAACTTCACCTGAGGATATTTTTCATTGATTTTAGAGAGAAAGGAAGGGAGAGGGAGAGAGAGAGAAACATTGATTGGTTGCACCCTGTACATGCCCTGACTGGGATTCGAACCAGCAGCCTAGGTATATGCCCTGACTGGGAATCGAACATGAAACTTTTTGGTGTATGGGATGATGCTCCAACCAACTAAGCCACCCCGCCAGGGCTCTGTCTGGCATTTTTTAATCTACCTGTTGGCAGCACACTGTTGCTTTGTGGGCTCCAAGGCCAGGGCTGTCCTGGACATGGTGTACCACTTTGTTCCACCCAGTATCATTAGAATAGAAGTAGACTGGGTAGAAAGGCTTTATACTCTGGCGTTCATTTTTCAGTTATAATCACAAATTATAATTAAGAGATTAATAATTAATTCTTACCTGAGCAGCTGCCATGTATTTGGCACCTTGCAGGATGGAGATAAAAGTAAGCCTCATGGTGATAAGAAGATGTAGCAACTAACAGGGCGATGGTGAAGTGCATGGGTTTCGAAGCCCGACTGCCTGGGTTCAACTTCTGGCCCTGCCGCTTCGCTGCAGTGAGACCTTGGCCATGTTACTTGAATTCTTGGGTCCTCATTTTTTCCTCTGAAATAGTGGAGTCTGAATTCAGATCCATTACGCGAGCTTCCAGGGCCCTTGGTTCTAAGATGTGATGATATTTTAAGGGAACGCACTTCTTCAGAGGGAGAAGGAGCCCTGGCCAGTGTTGCTCAGTGTTTGGAGCACTGGCCTGCAAACCGAACGGTCAGGGGTTCAATTTCTGGTCAAGGCCACGCACCTGGGTTGCAGGTTTGATCCCCAGCCATGGTCGGGGCTCAGGGTGTGTGTGGGAAGCAACCGATTGATGTAATTCATGTGTCTCTCTCACTTCAGTCTCTCGCTCTCTCTTTCCTTCCCACCCTCCCTCCCTTCTTGTTTTCTACTCTATGGAAAACATAAAATTTAAAAGAAAAAGAGGGATAGGAAGTAATAGTATTTTTAGATTGTCAGTAAAATAGGGCAACACGGAATTAACTAATTGTCTGGATGGTGTGAGTAGAGATGCATAGACGCTGAGCATGGCAAGTGGCGGCAGGTGGGCCGAGGCCAGACCACACCTGGTCTTGAAGGAACTGATCAGGTGTTTAGATTTCATTGTTAGTTTCTCAATGTTGGCACTACTGACATTTGAGGCTGAAGGCTTCCTTGTTGTGGGGAACTGTCCTGTACCTCTTAGATCCCCTTGCAAACCACGCCTCCCTCCCTCCCTTTGCCCCCCCAAATTCCTGGAGGTGTTGAACCTCCCTGGTAAAGAACCACTGGTATAAGGTCAAATTTATGTTTGTAGAGGGTGGCTCTGGCTGCTGACTACGTGGGGAGTGAGCCATAGTGGGAGCTGGTAGGTGTTCCAGGAGAGGTGACGGTGGCTTGGGCTGGGTGGAAGTGTTGGGGTCGGTGAGAGATAGTCCCTATTGTGTGACTTTGTTTAACTAATGTTATTTTCCAACATCGTCTTGCATTTCTCGAGGGCCTAGAAGCCTAGGCCCCTGGGATGCCGCATTCTAACTTATTTCTGCTTTACAGATGAATGAAATCGAAGTATGTCCAGAGTGTTACTTAGCTGCTTGCCAAAAACGCGATAACTGGTTTTGTGAGCCTTGTGTAAGTTGGAGTTCCTTCCCTTCGTCTTCTGAACGCTGTGCCTGGATGACTACCCGAGACAGCTTTCGCTAGGAGGCTTACTCGACCAAACTTGGGGTGAAGTTTTTAAGTAATGTTTTTACTGAAAAAGTGATAGCAGAGTAAAAGCAACGCAGGTAGGAGAGACCTCTTCGGCTGCTCGTCCAGAGAGCGGGATTCGCCAAGCGATGAGATAGTGACACAAGTGTTAAATGAGTGTGTCATTCCAAATCTATTTTAAGAGGATTAAGTCCATGGTCACCCAAATGTGGTGGTGGTGGTGGTGGGGGGGTCAGGGGAGAAAGATCACCCTTGTTTCCCTGTGGTTCTGCATTTACCAAACTTGTCTTCTACGTAGAGAAATGCAGTTTTGGAGTGGGCTGGCGGCGGTGGAGTATGCAGGGGGTGGGGCAAGATTGGGCAAGTAAAGTGAACAGTGAAAACAGTTTATGTCTCTCCCTGCCCTTGGAGATTAACACCTGAATCGTTAAGGGTTTGAGTGGCCCTCCATAAAGAACCAAAGAGGCTAATACTGCCTCTCATTACATGCTAGATACAACCCACGTTTAATCCTCCACCTTAACAGAGGCTGTAAGTGCTGCAGTCTCTGAGTTGCACAGAAAGGTGGGATCTTGCTCAGGGCCACCCAGGTAGTCACGGCACATCCAGTTTTCAAGCCCAGTTTTGCCAGTGCTCCGTTCTTGGTTTCAGCATTTACCCCCGTTCCCATCTTCGCCCAGGCCTACCGGCCACACACCGCCCAGGGGGCACCACCTGGGAGACTGTCTGAAACAGTTCTCTTTCAGTTTGTGGCCTCTGTCCCCTCTGCTTCGCTTTACCCCCACACACCACGCTTTATGTATGTCTCTTGCTGTCCAATACATTCAGACTCTGGATTTTGTTTTTCTTTTCCTAGAGCAATCCACATCCTTTGGTCTGGGCAAAACTGAAGGGGTTCCCATTCTGGCCGGCCAAAGCTCTGAGGGATAAAGATGGGCAGGTGGATGCCCGGTTCTTTGGACAACACGACAGGTGGGTGTTAAAAATGGGCTGCAAACGTGTAGCTCTCACTGAACCCACGGTCAGTGGGTACGAGGAGGAGCGGACGGGATGGCTATCGTTTCGTTGATTATCATGATACCCACCGGTGATCTTGTAGTTTAAAAGTCCTGTTCTGTGCTGTGTCGGCCCTGGGAATAATGCATGGGCTTCAGCTTTTTCAGGCACATGAGAAGAGAATCTTGCTTTCGTGCTTTTCTTGATGAAACCAGCACCAGAATAAGGTTCCATGGTTATTTCAAATGCTGCTGTTCTTTTTCTTTTTTTTTTTCCTGGAGTAAATCAAACCATTGTGCAAATTGGTTTTCAAAATAATGCTCTCCGTGATCAGAAGCATTTCCCCAGGTTACCAGTAAATGGGTCTCCTATCACTGTGCTGGGTAGCGCCGACCCTCCCCCCCCGCCCCCCTTTTCTTTGACGCTAAATGAGAAATGATAAGGGGTGACTGTTTGGGCAGGTGTGAGCCCTCCCTCCCAGCCTTTCTGCCTTCCCCTCGCCCACTGCGAAGGGAGTTATTCCAGTGATTAGCAGTTCCCTTTAGAGCACAGCCCCCTGCCTGCCTGAGAACCACAGGTGGACGGAGATGAGCAGCAGTTAATATCTTAGCTCTACTTTAGAGTTAAGTTATGATTAAATAAGGCAAAAGCCCTTTGGAAGCCCCACCGAGCCGCTTGGCAAAAGTGTGTGAGTGTGTCGGGGAGAATATGTAAAAGACATCATGCTGAATGTTACACACAGCCACAGAATGTACAGACCGTGCGGTTTATGATTTCATACAACACCGGAATCTGCAACACCCCTCTCTGTTAAATTTTGCTTATCATCTTGCAAGTCAAAGAAAAGAGTGAATTCCAAAGTAATCTACAAAATCATTCACTTAGGAACCCAGGCCGTCCAGTGTCAGGAGGCGAAATGGAAGTTAGCCGAGATGATCGTGGGTTTGATAGGAGGTATTACCCTTTATTTGATTTTGACCGTTTCTGTTGGAACACTCTTAAACATTCATTTATTTGTTCACTCAAAGAAAAATGTATTTGGTGGGCCATAGCCTGCTATGGGCCAGGCTATGTGCTGGATGCTGGGGCTTTAGGATTGGATAGGCAGATAACACTGTGTCTGCCCACCAAGAGGGGGGCATCCTAGCGGGCAAGACTGATAATACACAAGTAAACAAACTCTCAGGTCAGCAGGGAGCGGTGTGGCCCAGGGAAGAGCTGGGTAGAGGGGGCCAGAGAGAGCAGAGACGTGGGCACTGAAGGCCAAGGCCCATTGTGCTGGGGGGAGGGGGAGGGGAAGCCAGGAGCACGGTGTGGTTGGAACAGGATGAGGGAGGAGAGGATGCTAAGACGTGGGGTTCGGAGGTTGGGCAGGCCCTGGATCACATGGGCTATTGTCAGGAGTCTGGCTTTTATTTGAAGAGCGAAAGGCATTGGTGGCAGGCTGCAGACCTTCCTGCCTCTTCATTAGAACATCCACGCGTTAACCATCTTGATGGTTTGGGATTATTCTTGTTCTCCAGTATGACGTAATATGGGTAGACATAAGATACAGGCCCCTATGCACCAACTGTTCCCAGACCCCTGGGATCTGCTGTCAGCTGATTCACTCTGCATGGACACCCCTTGAAGGTGGCTTAGGGGCATGAACTTTGCTGGCTCTGGAGGCTGTTTTTTTAAAAGACAGCAGCACAAATCTGATTAGATTTTCAGGAGCTCCCTTGGTGTCCTCTGCCCCCTCAGGGGGAATATGCTGAGCTGTTGGGCTCATTTTCGGTGAGGAGCATGCATTGGGCAAGGTGTTTGGACGCACAGTGGTGGAGTGGCCATATGTTGGCCTGTAGGAATGAGTCAGCCTTGGGCAGGGAGTCCCTGGCAGCGGTGGGGGAAGCCACTCCTTCAAGGATGAGCATCCCTCCCTCCCCTGAGATGCCCTTAAAGCAGAATGGGGCCGTTTTGTCCACAGCTGGCTCTTATCAGACCCAGGAACAGGACGGGGAGTCTTCAGGGAGGCTGTAAGGCGGGTAGCATGCCGTCCCTTTTATGGGGAGTTTGCTTTCGGGGATGTAGAGCCAAAATGTGAGCCTGGACAGGTGTCAGTGAAATGGGCCAAGACAGCAGAATAGAAATATTACAGACTGTTACCTGGTCACCGTCAGGGTAATGAATCCTGGAGCCCGGGGAGGCTCTTCTGCCAATCAAGGCATGTTCTCAAGTGTCCCATCATGTGCCTTTTGTCCTTTAAAATATTTTCATTTCACCCGGCTGGTTTTGCTCAGCGGTTGAGCATCAGCTCATGCACCAAGAGGTTGCTGGTTCCATTCCTGGTCAGGGCACATGCCCAGGTTTTGGGCTCGTTCCCCAGCACAGGGTGTGCAGGAGGCAGCCCATCGATGTTGATGTTTCTCTCTCATCGATGTTTTTATTTCTCTCTCCCTCTCCCTTCCTCTCTCTCTAAAGCCAGTTAAAATATACTTTAAAAAAAAACCAAACACACAACTTTAAGTGCTATGTAAAAAAATTATTAAAATATATTTTGATTTTTTTTTCAGACACAGTATTATGTAAAAATATAGAAAATATCTTATTAAATTCCTGCAGAGATGGCATTAACTGAGGGCCAACTCTGCAGCCGGCACTGCTTTAAGTGCTTTCTATAAAAGTTGCTTTTATCCCCATTTCACTGGTAAGAAAACTGAGGCCCAGAGCTAGGAAGAACCTCAGCTGTGGCCTCACAACATTGCCCCCACAGGCTGTTGTATTGTTAAGCAAATCTAATTTTCCTTTAAATATCTCCTGGGCCTGCTTAAAGGAACAGAAACAGTCATTTTCCAGAAATCACTTGCCAAGCAACTTCATTGAAGGCACTTAAGAACCTGGGAAGAAACAGGTAAGGCCCTGATACCAGATGACAGTGTGGGGGAAACTCGGTCCCAGTGACCGACTGGCTGACCAGCTCCTGGTGGTACCGGGACTGGGGCATTTTGTTTGCTCCCCTTAGTACCCCTCCAGCTTGGGGCTCCTCCTCTGTTTTACTGATGGCAGCCTGAGGCTGGCTCAGGGACGGGGAGTCCCTTGTCTGCAGACAGCCCTGGGAGCCTGACCGCTCCGCAGGTCTGTCCCGCCTGGTCCAGACGCTTGCCCACCAGCGGTAATGCTTGGAGTCTAGGTCATTCTGCCTGACTTGCAGGGGTGGTTCCTCAGGTCTCAGCATGGAAGCAGCAGTGAGCTGGGATAGACGAGAAGCTGTCATTTCCAGCGCTCAGAGCAGATATTTATTGTTAGGGTGGTCAGGTTTAGTGGGTGTGGCAATCTAGCACCGCCAAGCATTGCAAACAGGCAGCCTGTGCCCTGAATTCTGCCCCATGCACATGCTGTATTTCCCCTGGGCTGCTTTTTCTTTAAAAAGTAGGAACGAGATGCCAACCATTAAATTTGGGTAAAACATAGTAGAATTTCCTATTTTGTTTCTCTTTGAAGCCGTGGGAGGCTTGGTAGTGTGGGGCTGACTCTTACAGGGGCACTTCTGACAGCACTCGGGGATGGTATTTGCATCAGACTGGCCGTGAGTTTAATTCCTCCCCACAGTTGACCTGGCTTTCTACAGCGTGATACCAGGCTTGGGTTGATGGTCTGTGAAAGCCAAGAGGCCTCCTTGGAAAGCTCACTCCCACCAGATCCCCAGCTGCAAACGGTTGAGGTTGGGAATAAAATGTGACCCAAGTTACAGCTTGGATGTTTCTGTGTCAGCTCTGCCTTCCCCAGGGCAGGGGGGTTGTGTGCCCATCTCCTGCCTGCTGTCACTCCGGTCACTGATTCCAGGAAAGCAGCTCATGTTCCCATGAAGTCTCTGCAGAGCCCGCGGGGGTGTGGGGTGTCGACGGTAGGGAGGTGGAACCCGCCTGGGAAGCGGAGGGCGCACACCTGAAGGCTAAGCGAGGGGCTGGTTTATCGTTATTTTTCATGCGAACTATCTCACGTTCAAAGCCATGCACCTCCTTTTAGGGCTATGGCTTTCCAGCGTTCCCTCCTTGCTCCATGGAGAACCCCGGTTTTTAAATTCATTTAAATTTTTTTTTTTATTGTTTTAAGTATTACATGTCTCTTTTTCCCCAATTGACGACCCCCCCCCCCTTCCTCCAGAGAATCCCAATTTTAAAAGAGAAAACTTTTCATTGTTTGAGTGCAAAATAGTGAGCTCGGGGAGTAATTTTCTATTGGGAGGTGTGGTCTAGGATGCAGTGACTGTCTTCTTATTCTCTACCAACCCAAAGCCAAAGGGACATTATTATTATTATTTTTTTTTATGGATTAAAATGACTAAGTCTGTTGAGGCTTTTAATGTTTTTGTTAAGTTCATGTTCACGTTCAGTCCTGATGACATTACGTGTGTTAAGTGGATTGTTTATTAACCATTCAAACCGAGTCATTTATAAAAGAAAAGGACTGTGCCTTTACGAATCTTGGCAAGCGTACTAGGCTAATTGGGTTTGTGTTCAGGAAAAAACAATTTTGAGACCGACCTGAATGTTCCATTGACTGGTGAATGAATAAGGGAAATGTATGTATACATAGTGGAATACTATTCAGCCTTAAAAATTATGCCACAGCATGGCTGAAACTGGAGGACAACATGCTAAGTGAAATAAGCCAATCATATAAGGACAAACACTGCATGATTCCATTTTTATATGAGGAATCTATGTCAGATTCATAGAATCGGTGGCATCATGGTTGCCAGCGGCTAGGGGTGGGCAAATGGGGAATTACTAGTCAATGGGCATAAAGTTTCAGTTACACACTATGAATACGCTTTAGAGATCTGCTTGCTGTACAACCTTGTGCCAAAAGCCAGCAATTCTGTCTTGTACACTTACACATTGGTTAAGACGGTAGAACTCCTGTTAAATGTTCTTAACCACAACGAAGTAAATGTTTTTAAAAAGTTACATAAAAATCTTGGAAATGACCAAAGTCGACTTAAACTCTCTCTCTTTTTTTGCCCTCCTAGAGCCTGGGTTCCAATAAATAATTGCTACCTCATGTCTAAAGAAATTCCTTTTTCTGTGAAAAAGACTAAAAGCATCTTCAACAGTGCAATGCAGGAGATGGAGGTTTATGTGGAGAACATTCGCAGGAAGTTTGGGGTTTTTAATTACTCTCCGTTCAGGACACCCTACACGCCCAACAGCCAGTACCAAATGCTGCTGGACCCCAGCAACCCGAGCGCTGGTGCCGCCAAGATAGACAAGCAGGAGAAGGTCAAGCTCAACTTCGACATGACGGCGTCCCCCAAGATCCTGATGAGCAAGCCCATGCTGAGCGGGGGCACCGGCCGCAGGATCTCCTTGTCGGACATGCCGCGCTCCCCCATGAGTACAAACTCGTCCGTGCACACGGGCTCCGACGTGGAGCAGGACCCCGACAAGAAGGCCATGTCCAGCCACTTCAGCGCAAGCGAGGAGTCCATGGACTTCCTGGACAAGAGCACAGGTCAGCCCCGGGCGGGAGAGGGTGGAGGAGGCCCCCGGGATTGCCACAGCTTCCACACCTGGTGGGCCAAAGCTGACCACTTCGCAGAACCATGGGGAGCCTCTTGGGGTTTCATTCTAGGGCAGTGGTTCTCAACCTTCCTGTTGCCGCGACCCTTTAATACAGTTCCTCGTGTTGTGGTGACCCCCAATTTCATTGTGACAAATGGAACATAATTAAAGATAGTGATTAATCACAAAAACAATATGTAATTATATATGTGTTTCCCGATGGTCTTAGGCGACCCCTGTGAAAAGGTCGTTCGATCCCCAAAGTGGTCGCGACCCACAGGTTGAGAACCACTGTTCTAATGGGATGAGTGACGAAGCTGGATGGATCCTTGCTGTTGGGAACCAAAAAATGACAAAAGCACTCCCAGCAGTCCAGCTTGCAGGCCATTCCTAGAAGTGGGCAGGGATGGTTAGAAATCCTTCCGGGTTCAGCTCAAATGCCCCTTAGATTAACCACAGCAACTTCCCGTAACGGCTTTTCTGTCTCAAGAATTTTATTTTAATTGAAACATGTTTCTGTCAAACCCATGCACTTACATCATTTAAGGCCTAAACATCAGAGAAACATGCAAGGTGACCAGTACTCCTCTTTCACCAAGGACTGTCCCACGCCTCCGAAGTTACCGGGTTTAACAGCTGCCTTGCGTTTTGAGACTTGCTGTAGCTGAGGGGTTAAGAAGGAGGACGCTGGTCTCAGATTCCAGCTCTGCCACTGCTACCTGTGTGGCATTAGTCAGGGTCCCTGAGCTCTTACGCCTTAGTCTCCGCATCTGTAACGTCGTGATAGGAATAGGATCTGCCTCGTAGGTTCTTATAAGGATTAAATGAATCAAAATACACAGAGGCTTAGAACAGTGCCTGGAGTAGTAAATGCTTCAAAGATATTGACCATATTATTTCTTATGGCTGCTGATCAGATGCCTTTGTTCTAGGACACAGTAACTTGTGTTGACATAGTTTCAGAAAAAAACTTCCCTTTTGCCCTTTAGTTTCTGACCAGAGTCCGTAAAAGCTTCCTCTTATTCCACGACACGATTCCACTTAAGCCCAGTTAACAGAAGACGGTGCATAATCACCTACAACCCCCCGCCCTCCCCCCAGCCTGCTGGGTCCCAGGGAGAGCCCGCTTTTGAGAAAGTGTTTTAACCTCGGCAGCAGGCCCGGGAAGAATCACTGTTCCTGAACTTTCATTGCCATGGTTTTTGCCACGTTCTAGTACCAGCTATTTTATTACATTCTTAAATATGAAACCTCCCACGTAGCTTCATCCTAAGCTGAATAAAATGTATAAACTCATGTGTTTACAGTGCTTGTTGTATTTTTTCCTAAAATACATCAATGAATATGTAACTTGTCATATCACACCTGTAGGGCCATGAACCCACTCTCCGTTCTCCTGCACCGTATTTCAGAAAAACAGTTTCAATGTGTTGACTGTAGCGTCTTTCTTCCCTTGGGTGGTACAGAGGTCGAAATGACATCAGAAGTCCTGGCAAAACCCCTGATCATTTGCGTAGTGTTTTAGGTCCTGCGTTAGCAGACTTTAAAGTCCTTCTCCCAAACTGCAGTCCCCTTGCTGGTATGTGCTTGGGTCATTTGGCTGATCCTGAGTTGTACAGCCAGTGAGTAGTTCAGGAAGAGAAGGGGATACTCAAAATTGTTTTCATCTTACAAATTGCCCCCTTTTCTGTAAGGAGCCCGACAGTAAATATGTTAGGCTTAGTGAGTCTCTGTCACACCCATGCAACTATTCAACACGGTCGTCGTTACTAACCCAGCCATAGACAGTAGGTGGCTGTGACACTAAAGTGTGAATTTCATATAATTTGTATGTTTAGTGAACTATTAATCCTTTTGATTTCCCTTCCACCCCACTGCCCCAACCATATAAAAATGGTAAAAACCTTCTTAGCTTGCAGCCCATACAAGAACAGGTGGTATTCTGGATCTGGCCCATAGCTTGGTTTGCCAACCTCTGTTGTATAGATTAAGAGAAGCTGATTCAGCCTCCCCATTTTACAGAAGGCAAGTTGAGGTCCCTAGGAGAGTTCGGGGAGGTGCTGAGGTTCCTGGCGCCCCATCCTGACTCTAGAAATGGCTAGTCTGGTTTTTCTTTTCATTGCACTCTACTGCCCTCTGCTGTTTGCAGTGATAAGAGCATTTATTGGAAGAAGTGGACTCGTTACTGGAATGTTCCCATAGTCAGACAAGACTGATTTATCCAAAATTGTGAGAAAAAAAAAAGTGCCATAGGAACAGAAAAACCATATAGTTACAGCAATGAAAACATTTTAAGCAGCAACATAAAATTGAAATAAATTGTTAAATAAAACTTGTATGAGAATTTAGAAACCCTTCTTTTTTGCAAGGGGAGAGGGTGTGTGGATTGAGCTCAGAATCACGTGTCTGTGACCTTAGAACTGGATTTTTGAGAAGCGCTTTGTGTGGCCAAAAGCCTTCTACTGGAATCCCATTGTCTTAATGGTCAAAGTGGTTTATATTCTCAGTGATTTATTTTATTTATTTATTTATTTTGCTTCCCCTTTTATTTAGACCTCATGGCCAGAATTGATGCCTTTGTCAATATTTGCTTGTGGGATCCCAATTTAAGTCGTTAATATGTTTTAGGATGATATTCCTGGGGCCTGTGAGCTAAAGGTCCTTTGGTCTTATAGCTCTATATGGGTCACTGCTTAGGGAGAAGGAAAAACATGTTCATAAACTCCTTTATATTGTGAAATCAATATATTTTTATAAAACAATTGTTATTTACGAAGACGGAAGTCACAGACGATACCACCTACCACAGTCAGCCCTTAGCTAGTTTCCAGGACTCTCTCCATGTTGGTTCACGCCATACTATTACTTTGGAAACTCAAATACGTCCAGAGGTCAGGCTGGTATGGAAATGAGAGGCTGGGAAGTGGTAGGGACTGGGGTGAACTAAAGCAGAAATACACCTTATCATGACGCATGACACGTACACACGTGTGCTTGTGTGTGCAGCTCTCCCCGAAGCAGTGCAGCGTCTACAGCCCGATACGTGATATTCTGAGCCCTCCCTTTTTTCTAAAGGGCATCGGGGCCTTTTCCTCCTCCTGGTTAGAGCCACGTGGGGGTGGGGGCTGAGTGTTGCCAGGTTTCTGGTTGTTCAAGAGAAGTTTCAAATATTTTTTTAAATGCAAACTACTCAGACTTTTATATATTGGCTCATTTAAAAACAACAACCACATGCTGGGTCACACACATCCGTGCACTACTCGATGCATGTGTCACCTGTTTGCAATGTCTGGTGCAGACTGTTGGAGTTTTTTTTGTAACTTAACCTGTGTTCTGAATGCCTTTTCATGCTAGTAAATGACGCTTCCACACAGCATTTCTGTCCTGTCGTGGGACCGGCCCGTGATGTTCTGCCGTGTGGCTCATCCGTGCACACCGCCAGGACTTGTGAACACATCGGTTGTTGCCGAGGTTTTATAAGCAGAGGAAATTTAGCCTGAATCCACCCCTCCTTCACCCCCACCCCACCTGGAGGGCTGGGGTGCGCGGGAGGGAAGGGCCTTTTTTTCTAACTTAATTCGAAGACTCCTGTTTCGTGTAGTCAGAACAGCACTTAGCACAGGCTAGGATTTTGTCAATGCAGATAATAGATGGTGTGCTTTAGCCCACACTCGTAAATTGCACATCAAAGTATAAAATCTTATTAAGTTATTGGTGACTTCAAAGGCTAATAGTTTTTCCTTTGGGCAGTATTTATGGCTTTATAAAAGGATTGGCATCTGTTCCAAAGCATACTTGGAATGAGCATTTCCCAATGTCTTTCTGCTTTTGAAAATGCCTAGAGTGATTCCAAACAGGGCTTCTCAGCCTTGGCACTGTTGACAGTTTGGGCCGGATGACGCTGTGTTGTGGGACTGTCCTGCGCACTGTAGGTTGCTTAGCAGCATCCCTGGTTCCTACCCATGAGATGCCAGCAGCACACCCCGTCCAAAGTTAGAACCCCCCAAAATGCCTCCAGACATTGCCATGTGTCCCCTGGGGGCATAGTCACCCCTCCACTCCCCATTGAGAACTACTGATCTAATGTACCACACTTCTGAATTTTAGCTCTGACAAAATTCTGATGGCTTCACATTAATCTTTGAAACTCTTCAATATTTACATTTAATTTTGTCTCACTTTTTTCTTGAACATAATATTATATAATTAATAGCACATCATTGTACCCTAAGAGATGGCAACTATTAGGAAGGGGCTGTTCCTTCAGATATGTTTAATGTATATCATCACATTGATGATGATAATTATTTTGTGGTAGAGTGGGATCATGCTAAGCTTTTTGCTTCTTTCAACTTCGCGATATTTCTTTGGCTTCTTTCTATGTTAGTGTATATAGTTCTAATTGTCAGTAGTATATAGATTGTACGTGAATGTGACAAGTGTTGGGGGTCAGAGCTGAATTTTGGGAGATACTCCTTGGGGAAGAAACCTGGTTTTATTAAGTAATATGAATGCAGATGTTTTAAATGGATACACCGATTTGTTTTCTTCACGTAATTTAACTTTTATATATCTACATTTTTGCTAACTTTCTGATGTCCAATGCTGTAGGCATTTTGGCCAGCCTAGTATTAACATGTTTCTCTAGATGGCCTCATACAAAACCAGAATAACTTTCAAGAGCATATCTGTTCGTCTTCACTGGCGTCATACGATTGCAGTACTTTTTCTTTATTTACGTTTTTCTGTGTTAGCGTGTATGTTCAAAGATGTTGAAGGTCCTTCCCGTTGCAGCATGCATCAGCATGGCATTCCTTGTTGTGGCCCAGGAACACCCCGTCGTGGCTGTACCACAGTGTGTTGATGGACGTTTGGGTTGTTGCCACCTTTGGGCTCTTGTGAACTATGTTGCTCTGAACATTTGTGTACAAGCGTCTGTTTGTGTTCCTGTTTTGGGTACATACCTGGGAGTGGACCTTCATGTACAGGAATTGTCTGTCTGTTTGCTGCATGAATTTCTCTGCTTTATACATAAAGTGCAAGGTTTTTTTCATCTTCTAAGAACTACTCTTTGCCCCTTGCGGGCCATTTTGCCCCTGTTGGGAATGCCCGGACTGGGGGCGATAGCAGTGGAGATGGCGGTCTGTGGCGGGGTTGGCGGTGTAGTTTGGAAGTGGCGTGCAGAGGCCTGGCTGAAAAGTTGGCTAAGTTGAGGCAGGAGGAATTGGAACGGCCTTGGGCAGCCTGGTGAGTGTGTGTAGCATTAACTGAAAGGGGTTGGGGACAGGTACAAGGTCTGTCACAAATCGGGCAGGTGGCACTCAGGGGTGGACATCGGCCCTGGCTTTTTCAGGGCCAGCTTTCAGGGACCTGTAGGTTGCTAAAATCCTCTGCATGATCACAAGTGGGTCAGGGCTCCGGTAGGCCGCCACCCGGCCTCTCCTTACTTTGTTAACTCGACCTGTTAGGCAGGGAACCGTGGATTCACGTGGTGGAGGTCTCTTGTGACAGTACCTTGGCGTGGGATTTTGTTCCCGTTCTCTTTAGGGTTAGGCTTCTTGGCAGGGTTCCCCACAGTCCTCAGGAGCGCTTTGACAGCGTGCTAAGCGAGCCCCTCTCTGCTAGGCCGGCTTGTTCGTTCGTTTTAGAGCCGCGGTCGGTCGCCAACCGGTGGTCTGTGGGGTCCGCGAGGTCCGAAAGGTGGCGACGGCTGTGTCAGAGAGCACAACTCGAAAAGCCTGGTCTGCAGCCCTCGTGGGGCGGGCATTCGACCGATCCTTTCAGCCACCGGAAATCTCTTGGAAGCGGGAGGCGCATAAGTGAGTGGGTTACTTAAAAACAAAACCAAAGAAACATCCCAACACTAAAGGTTTTATTGGAAATATTGAAATCTTTTAAAATGTCTTTAACTTCATTTATTCCTGTTGGTTTAGGTAACAAGCACTTTATTTCTGCTTGTTATCCTAGCAGTGGTGAGAGGAGCAGGGTTCGTACCAGTAGTAACAACAGCCCTCAGAATGCGGAATGCTGGGCCAGGTATTCGTTCATTCCTATAGTAAAACTGATTGAATTCAGTATTCAAAAGGCCTGAGTCCTCACAATGGTTTCGAATGTTTCTTGAGCACTCGCTCAGCCCAGGTGACCTGCTCCCCACCTCTGCTCCTCATTTCCGGGGGAGGCGAAGGATTCCCAGAGACACGGCTGCGGTCCCCGTGTGGGCGATCAGTTCAGCACTTGTTGGCATTTGGGGCCAAGATAGTTCTTCTTCAGGGATGCTGTCCTGTGTCCTGTAGGATGTTAGCCGTATCCCTGGTCTCTACCTCCCAAGGTGCTCCAGGCACCTTAAGGTGCCTGGAGCACCTTGTCTCCTGGTCTGACAACTAAAAACATCCGCAGACACTGCCCTGTGTGCCCTGGAGGAGAACTGCTGGTTTGAATGATTGAAACCGAAGCCCCAGAGGTGAATGGGAAATAGAAACTTCTACTACACTAAGAGCAGGCGATGCACAGGGTAGTACTTAACAGATGTCAGGCAGCTGTCCAGATGACTGACTGACTTGGTCCTTACAACTTGATGAGTGTAGGGACTTGCACCCTCCCTTGGTAGGGTATTGTTAGTATTCCTCTTGGTTGCTGCCAGGAAAGGAGATTCAGAGACAGGGTAATGTACCCAAAGTCACACAGCAAGTCAGCGCAGAGCTGGGACTTGCACTCAGTCTGGCTTCCAGTCCATGCCTGAGTCCATTTCTCTCCGCATCTAGAGTCTCTCCCACTGTCTTACGTTCAGTGAAGCGTTGGCAGGTCCTGGCGCTGGAGATGAGGTGACCTCCGGTGTATTGGTGTATCCATTACTGATGCTCAGTCTGAGCGTGCCCATTTGGCAGGTGAGGAAATGGAGGCAGGCACCCACGTAAAGGGGGGGTAGTTGACCAGTATCTCATCACTCCATCGGGGCTGCATTTAGCTCCCGTCAGCATTGCACCTGTGACGTGGGAGTCCCGAGCTCTCCTGAGGGGTCCAGTTGGCCTTTGGCAGATGCAGTAGCTGTGAGGCCCACCCCTGCGTCTCCCACAAACAGGTGACATGCCATCTGCAAGCCTGGCTCTGGTCTCTGCGCCTGGCCCGTGCTGGGGTCTCTGTTTTAAATTGCTATTTATTTTGAGATTTTTCACACCCATGAATGTGCCAAACCAATTTCAGTGGCAGCTTAGCTGATTTGTCTTAGAGCTTTGTGTCTAATAGAATAACTGGGAGGCCTCCTTTCTGTGTGGCCGAAATGGTTTAACATGGGGAGGACGTCCTTTGCTTTGAAACCAATGGCTGGCCCTGCCCACTGCCCCCTTCTCTGGTGCCCTGCTGGAATCACATACAGTTTCTCTGCTCTTGCCCACCCCACACTTACCTACAAGTCTGATTTGTTTATTTCTTCGTAACTCTGTCCTTTAACAAGTGCCTTATCTTTTCAGCATCGCCGGCCTCCATGAAGATGGGCCAAGCGGGGAGTTTATCTGGCAGCCCGAAACCTTTCTCTCCTCAAGCGTCCACGCCAATCATGACGAAAGCAGACAAGACGGCCACCACCGGAAGCATCCTGAACCTTAACCTGGGTCAGTGGGGATTTTTGGAGTCTCTTGCTGGGGCACCTGCATATTTTTGCAGGTTGTGATGCCCTCTTGTGTGGTTCTTGAACTCTGAACTCTCTGAGTAAACCGTGTAAAGGGTAAAGTAGAGGAACATGAAGATTGGTCAATAAAAGGGACAAGTGAGGGATTTCCTGGGGGCTGTTGAAGTATCTTAGGCCAGTGTTTACAGCTGTACTTGCCCTTGACCATGTAACCCAGTTCTTACATGTAAATATATATACTTGAAGTTGTATGTGTGTGTGTGCGCACATACATTGAGTATTATGAATCAGTATTTACCTTTTCTATGTGCAGTATATTCTTAGGTCAAAGTCTTTAGCAGAAATTGGCATTGGAAATGTTAATTACCTAACTCTACGAAGTTATTATTTTCCTGATTCATTCCACCGTTTCTTAGTTTTTATTGAGCGTCTGTCATGTGCTGTGTACGGCGTTGGCATGGGGCAGAGTGTGGGGAGGAAGGGCCCTGCTCCTGTGGCGCTTGGGTTCTAGAACGGGACAGAGAATCATCAAGGTGGGTAAACAGGACAGTTCATTCCGGAAGGTAAAATGTGTTGATATGATAAGGAGAGAGATGGGCGGGGTGGAGGTGGGGAGGAGGCAGTGGTTCGGGGGTGGAAGGGTTAGGGAAGGCCTATTTGAAGGGGAGAGTTGCATGACAAGAAAAACCAGTTGTGTCAGGACGAGGAGGAAGAACATTCCAGAAGGAACAAGAACATTACAGGCCCAAGGGTAAGGATGAACTTCGTGTGTGAGAGGAGGGGCAAGGAGGCCCAGGTGGTGTCCCAGTGGCTGATGGGGAGGTTAGGAGGTGAGGTTAGAGAGCACGGGGCCTGAGGACCCTGGATTGAGCAGTGCAGGATGTGAACTGACTGAGAAGTTCAGAAGGACTCTTGGTTGCTACGTAGACTAGCCCATTCTGTTGTTCGAAAACCTGGCAGTTCCTCCCTCCCCTAAGGGATACTTGCAGGGTCTGGAGACATTTCTGGTTGTCACCCCTGGGGGTGGGGGCTGCTGCTGGCCTCTGGTGGGTAGAAGCCAGGATGCTGTTGACCACCCTACAGTGGATAGTAGGCCGCCACAGCCAGGAATTACTGGGCTGTGCCAGTAACTGTGTTGACAAATTGGATGTGGCAGGAGAAATAGGAGCCAAGGGTTTAGTTTTAGGTTTGTATGTTTGGTGCCCTGAGGCCAGGTCGAGGCATGAGGTGCCATTCGGAGAATCTTGACTATACGTGGGGTGGGCTAGAGCAGTGGTTCTCACAGAGCTGGGCAGGGGGTGCCTGCTACTGGCATTGAGCGATTTAGTGATTGCAGATCAGGGACGCTGTTACACAGCCTACGCTGCCCAGGAAGCCTGCCCCCACCCCCCAACCCCCCAGCAGGGAATTATCTCATCCCAGTGGCGGTAGTGCTGAGATGAAGACCCTGGCCTAGGGCGTAAAGGGCGGGCAGGGGCCCTGGGACACGACCATGGAGACAGGTCAGCAGGAGGGGGACAGGAGCAGTGGACAGGGGCAAGCCGCCCTGTGTGTGTGTGTGGTCCCGGAGGCCTCTGGAACAGGGCTTTCGGAGGTGCTCCAGCGTGACTAGAGCCTGTGGCGGCCGGTGCCTTCCGGGTTCACCTTTTCCTGCAGTGCCCTTTCGGATGGAGAAACGGGTCTGGAGAGGTGGCTTCTGGTGCCCGGATGGCAGAGCCCGAAGGTGGCGGCAGGGCCGGGTCAAGCCTGTGCTCCATGGAGGCCAGTGCCCTGTGCACCCGGTCACCGTCAGGGCCACGCAGGTGTGACTGACCAGTCAGGGGGATGTAGGGGCTCCAGCTCAGATACACTGGTGGGAACCGCTCACTTGAACAAAAAGGCGACCCGTTTGCCGCCTTGGGGAATAGTCACCTCCTCAGCAGTGTGGTTTGCTTTCTCATGCCTTCCTCCCACCTCCACACCCCAAAAAGAACTGCTGTGTGGAGGTGTTCTCACGGTCCCATTTCCTTTTTGCCAGCCATGCATGGCAAGAATAGCTCCTTCCTTAACCCAGGCGGACCGTGGGCATCCTCGTGACACGGGGACTTCCTGTTTGGCCTGACCCACCGTGGGAGTGCGCGCTGCTTCCTGCCTGCGTTTGGGTGGGCGGGCACAGCGGGACCAGGCCTCTCCTTCCCACTGGGGGGGACGCGGGCCTCATTATGTCAGCAGGAGCGGAAGCCTTGGGATGTGGGTGTTTTAGGGCTGGGGTTCCAGTCACCTACTGGAAAGAGAATCAGAGAGGGATCCGTGAGAAGCGCCACGGGTGGGTTGAGAAATGGGAAAGTGGAAGGGGATGCGAAGTATTTTTCCAGGATCCCAGGGAGGGGACCAATGCTTATGGTGTTTCATTATGTCTGTCATCTGTGTGACTACTTGGAGCAGACAGAAGTGCCGGGGATAATGATGACATTATTACATCTAACAAAATATTTAATTAAAAAAATTACACCGAGAAAGGCAAGCTTACAGGAATGGCAAACAGATCAGCGATTGTCGGGTGTGGGGGTTTGGGGACGGTTTGACTGTGATCTCAGGGGGTCAGGGGCAGATGGAATTGTCCTGCATCCTGTTTGTGGTGGGGGTCCCACAAATCTCTGCCAGTGTTAGAACTCAGAGGTGTATCCCCCAAAACGTGAATTTTACTCTCTGCAGATGAAAACGACTCAAAGGTAGGAACTAGCCCCATTTCACAGAAGGCCCAGAGAAGGGAAGTTGCCTACTCAGGGTCACACATGGGTCAAGGTGAAGTTGGGCCTTTCAGACTCAGGCCTGTTTTGCTGTGTAGCTGGAGCTCTTCACTGGGCTACGGGAACTGAAATGCTTCAAGATGCGGCCCTGTTTTGACTTTCATGTGCCCTTGAAAGGGGTTGGGGGTAGAGTGACGATTCGGAATGGGGGATCACACAGAGGACGAGGTGCCTTTTTAAAGGAAGCAGCTCCTACCACTTGAACCTGTGTTGTCAGATTCTGAGTTCTCAGAAAAACAGAAATCCTGATTTTTGTGTGAATTCTCCTAGTTTTAAAAATGTGACGTCGTCGATTTCATCAAAAATAAAAAGAACTCGCCGGAACCGGTTTGGCTCAGTGGATAGAGCGTCGACCTGCGGACTGAAGGGTCCCGGGTTCGATTCCGGTCAAGGGCATGTACCTGGGTTGCAGGCACATCTCCAGTGGGGGATGTGCAGGAGGCAGCTGATAGATGTTTCTCTCTCATCGATGTTTCTAACTCTCTATCTCTCTCCCTTCCTCTCTGTAAAAAATCAATAAAATATATTTAAAAAAATAAAAATAAAAAAATAAAAAGAACTCGACTCGGGCCAAATAAATACGACTAAAAATACGGAAAACCAGCCCATGGGTCATCCATGGTTGCTTGATTACCCTCACAGCTACTGTGCATGAGCGAGGGGAAGGTTTACGCAGACCGCCCTCAGCCTGCTGCCGGCACACAGCCTCTCCTCTCAGCTCCAAACAAACCCTGGAGGATTGTCACGACCCCTCCTGTGGCTTCACCCTCATCGTAGTGAGGACGTGCTGGTGAGACTAGGAGGGAGAGGAGGCCCTGATTCTTGTCTGCATTCCGGTTCCCCTGGCCTGCGAATCCTCATCTCTTATCTCACAGAGGGTGTCTGCTTGTGGCTGGACACACCCAGCAGTTCCGGGGCCTGCTTGTGACAAAATGTGCTTTGCTGCTCTCCCCACGGTGGGCGCCGGTGCCGCCCAAGCAATGGAGCGTGTCTGCTTGTCTGTTCCTCCCGGTGGCTGCCGGGAGGCGTCCTTCCTTTCTCACACAAAGCAGGGCCTTGGCAGCCAGGCATCCGAGAGCCGGATGCAGAGCAGGGCCTGGGTCTCCCAGAGGTGGTCTTGGTTTTGTTTTTTGCAGTGAGTGCAGTGAGGAGGGTCTCTGCCTGGCTTTCACGGCCAGGAGACCGTCTGCTGGGGTCTCCTGTCTGAATGTTGTTCCCCGAAGGACCTGCCATTCTGTGGCTCCTGGAAGTCCATCCGGTAGAGTCTCCGGCAGCTTTGGAACAAAGGAGTTTTGTTTTATTTTTCCTCCCTTTTTTTTGTTTTAACTGAAAAAAGAAGTGGTTATATTTCTCTTTTAAAAAGCTTTATTGGTTTTGTTTTGGTTAATCCTCACATGAGGACATTTTTTCCATTGCTTTTCAGAAAGAGTGGAAGGGAGGGAGGGAGGGAGGGAGGGGGAGAGAGGGAAAGAGGAACATGGATGTGAGAGAGACATCGACTTGTTGCCTCCTGCACGTGCCCCGACTTGGCAGGAGCAAACCCGCAACCCAGGTCCGTGCTCTTGATCGGGAATTGGACCCGGGATCCTTCAGTGCTCAGGCCGCCACTCTAGCCAGGGCTCCCGTGTTTTTATGAGCAGTGAATGCACACGGTGAGAGAAAGTTCACAGGACAGAACGATGTGGAATGAAAAGCCATCCTGGCTGCAACCCTCTGATCACCTGCCTCTGTATCCGCTCCTCACAGGTGCCCGCTGTGTTTTAGTCGCTGTGGAGAGCTCGCCTAGGTACATCCCAGTGGTTCTCAAACTGGGTGATTTTTGTCCCTCGGGCATGGTACAATGTCTGGAGCCATTTTTATTGCCACAACTGGGATGTGGGTGCTACTGGCACCTAGGGGTGGAGGTCAGGGTTGCTGCTAAACATCCTACAATGTGCAGGGCAGCCCGCCCTCCCACTGCCACTGCCCCCAACAGAGACCTGTCTGGCCCCAAATGTCTTAAGTGCCAGCATTGAGAAGCCCCAAGAACACAGGTGTATTCATATCTATCCTCCGTTTCCTTCTTTCTCCCCCACACCAGTGCTAGAGTGCGCTACCGATTGTGCCCTTCTCAGTAAGCGGCTGGCTGTCCGAGCAGTGCGCGGGGATCTGCTACGTTTCAGCAGCTGCATTTTAGTGCATTTCAAGGTGAACTGCACCTTATTTATCCAGGCACTTAGTTATGGACTCTAGGTTGTTTCCCCTGCCCCCACCCCCCCCTTTTTTTTTTTTTTGCTGTTGATAACAGCTGTGATAAAGACCCTTTACCCACATGGGAGTGTGTATCCACAGGATGAATTCCTAGAAGTGGAACCCGGGTCAGAGGCCACGTGCAGCTGATGTTTGGCTGTCCAAACAGCCAAATTGCCCTCTAAAGGGGCTCTTCCCATCTGTGCTCCCTCCAGAAATGTAGGATCGTGCCTCTTCCTCTAGCGTGGGTTTTTTTGTTTTTGTTTTTGTTTTAAATATATTTTATTGATTTTCTACAGAGAGGAAGGGAGAGAGATAGTCAGAAACATCAATGGGAGAGAAACATCAATCAGCTGCCTTCTGCACCCCCCCACTGGGGATGTGCCCGCAACCAAGACACATGCCCTTGACCGGAATCGAACCCGGGACCCCCCAGTCCGCAGGCCGACGTTCTATCCACTGAGCCAAACCGGCCTCGGCTAGCGTGGGTTTTTTAAAAAAAATTCACTGTTTCCATTTGTAGCCTGAGCTGTCTTCACATCAGCTGAAAAGTTCAAAGTGTTGGCAGCAAAGGTGGATTCGGAAGATACACCCGATATAGAAGGGCAGGGGTGGAAAGAGTTGCCTGGGAGCTAAAGGAGAGAGCAGCCCTTCTCTGCTCTCTGCGGGGGAGAGTCAAGTGCAGCTGAAAGTTTCAGAAAGATGATCACATGTGGCTAAACTGAAGCTCCGCTCCCAGGGTCCTGACCCCAGCCCCCCGGCTTGTGGTCGTTTCTTGTCAGAATAAACATTATAGCAGCATATGGACGCGAGCAGCCTTATTTTGTAAAATGCGGCCCTTTGCCTTTTCATTCCTCTCTATTATGAGGTGTATGTAGGTCTCTTTCTATGAACCCTAACGTTTAGAAGTGTGGTTTTGTGTGTCAACACAGATACGCCAGGGTTCAGGCAGATCATGAGGAGTTTTCTTCACTCACATTGGTCTAACACAGGGTTCTCAACCTTAGCTGCCGTCAGCATCGCCCAGGGAACTTTTAACATATCAATGCCCAGGCTGTACCCCAGGCCAGTCTCGGGGGTGGTGGAGGGGTGGCCAAGGCATTAGGATTTTTTTTTTTTTTTGAAGCTCTACAGGTAATATCTATGTGTAGCCCGGTTAGCAGTCACTGGGACTCATACCGGTGATGGCACATTTTGTAGCCTGCAGATCAAATCTGGCCCCCCCACCTGCTTTTTGAATAAAGTTTTATTGGAACGCAGTCATACCCATTTGTTTACATATTGTTTCTTTTCGCTTTTGCACTAAATCCTGCATTGTATGGTCCATACAGTTTCTTCCTCTCTGGCCCTTTACAGAAAAAGTTTGCTGACCCCTGGGTATAGTAAGCGTGCTTTTCTGTCACTGCTATATGGAACCGATGAACGGTACGAGAATGTTATTGAGGACATTGATGAGCATATCACTTGGGTAGCAACCCTCCTCCCGCCCCACCTCACAGTATTTCTGTGAGATGCTTCTTTTCTAGCTTAGGCTTGAAAGAGCTGCCTTTTCCCTCTGGAATCCAGTATGCGTCCTCCTTTCTGAGAACAGAAATGACCAGGCAGACCTCATAGTCTCCCTTTTGCTGTCACATTTGGAGCTTCAATATTAAGTCCTTACGTCCTGTTTGTACTGTCTTTATTTGTGTCTGTTTTTCTTGTTTCCCTGGTCCTCCGCCGCCGCCTTCTCCTTCTTGCTGTTTGATCACTGTTTCCCTCTGTCCTAGCTTTGTAAGTGCTTCTGCAGTAAATTCTTTCCCTCCAAAGTGGCCGTGCACTCACACCTGTGAGCGTCTCCAGTCCCAGTGCTGCCGGCTCTCTGAAGAGGCCCTGGTCAGCGCGTGCGTACACACACGCACGAACACACACACACACACACACACACACACACACACGGCTGTTTCTCAGGATGCTGTCACTCTTGGAATCTCCCTGGCAGCCCACTCCGAGTGTTTTTGGGCAAAGGGCCTTCCTCATCCTAGAGGAGGCCTCGTTGTGGTGATAAAATCAACTCTGAGCAATTTGTTGCTCTGGTCACCTGTGTTGGGTGGGGCATTTGGGAGGCCACCTGCGGTCACTTTAAAGGAAGGAGTCTGAGCGTGCATGTGGGGAAGTGGCCTGTTCCTGAGCGAAGGAGAAGGTTTGTGAGTCAAATCGGAAAACAAAACAAAATCGAAGGGAGAGAGTGAAGGCTTTGAACAGCCCTTGTGGTCCAGCTCTCACTCTGTATCCTGGGCCTTTAACAGCCTGGGCGACGGAGGCGGCCTTTGGGTGGGTGTAGCAGGGAGATGAAGGGGAGTCGGGGAGTGAGCTCTGAGCTGGTGCAGACAGGCTCCGTGGTAGCTTCTCTGTGTCCTTGACTCGATGCCACATGCTTTCTGACTGCTTTTCTGGGATCAGTCTGGGTGGGGCATATGCCCACATTCTCAGCTGGGGGTTGGTCAGAGGGTGGCAGGCAGGATGGGCAGTGCTGCTCCTGCCTGCGAATCTCCCGTGCATCTGGGCCTTTGCACCCACCTTCATCTGTCCCCTTCTGTTTCCAGGACACTAGAGGAGGCAGGGAAGGAATTCCAGAAATGCAAACTCGCCTTGGCCTGTGTGGCTCAGTTAATTGTGCATCATCCTGAGCACCGAAAGGTTGTGGGTTCGATTCCTGGTCAGGGCACATGCCCAGGTTGTGGCTTGATACCGGTTAGGGGGTATGCAGGAAGCAGCTGATTGATGTTTCACCTCTCACATTGATGTTTCTCTCTCCCTCTGCCTTCCTCTCTCTCAAAATCAATAAAAAAATCTTTTTTTTTTTAAAAAAAGACTTATCAAAGAATACTAAAGGCAAAATCATCTGCATTTAAAGAAGGAAAAGAAAAAGAAATGCAAACGCATGGAATCTGGTCCAGTTGCTCTTATAAAGAGCCCATGGCCGAGGGGGGTGGGGGCAGGACCTCGGCCGAGTGAGTCATCAGCAGTCGGAGGCCTTTGCCTGGGACTGTGGTGAGGAGCTCGGACTCCTCTTACCTGAGTGAGAGGACACAGATGTAATATCCAGGGCTAATCTGTTTCCCTTCCCAAAGAGAGCTACAGCAGGCTGGCTGGCTGGCTGGAAGGTCTGCCTCTTTTTCTAGTTTTCTCTGCCTTTCCAATTTACGCTCCAGACCAGGTTGAGGAAGAGTGAAGAGTGACGCTTCTGTGATCAGTGAGGAGCCCGGGCTCCCCGTTATCAGCGTGTTCTCAGAGGGGCTCGGCGTCTCTCGGGTACAAGCCTCTCTGATGTGGCCTTGGGGTGAAAGCGCAGTCTGGCCAGACGGGTGCCACTTGCTCTGCTAATACTGAGATTGAGCTCAGGACGCTAACCTTTGGCGTTCGAGATTCCCTGACGATGCGGAGCTCCACCGACAACCATCTGGCTGGGACGGCGCGTCTTAAATACTGAGTAAACCTGCCAAGTGTTTTCTTGGGCTGCTGTCTCCCAAGTCAGCCCGTGTCATCGAGCCGGGGGTATTGCTGGGACAAATGACAAAAATGTTTTAGGTCTTTCCCCTCCCATGTTCTAAAACGTGTTGTTTGCGAGTTGTTTGTTCGTCCTGTAATGCCTGGTCTGACGAGGGCGGGACGGTATCTTCCAGATCGAAGCAAGGCCGAGATGGACTTGAAGGAGCTGAGCGAGTCCGTCCAGCAGCAGGCTGCCCCCGTGCCTCTCATCTCTCCCAAGCGGCAGATCCGCAGCAGGTTCCAGCTCAATCTTGACAAGACGATAGAGAGTTGCAAAGCACAACTAGGTATGTCTTTGGTTTGCTTTCATCATCACCAGCAGCAGCAGCAGCATTTGTGGGGACACCACCCAGGAGAAGTCAGAGGTGGATCCTGGCTGCTTCGAACCCTGAGCTGTTTGCTCAGCTAACACATATTTCCACTCGTGGCAACATATTTCAGATTGGCTAATTGTTCGGACAGGCTCTTTGAACTCCTCTGAATTTGTTCTTAGGTTGTGGCAGCCTGCAGGTGCCAGGTGCAGGTGCTCTAGGAGCAGACTGGTCCTCCCGCGTCTGCCTCTGTGCACCCTCTCAGTGCATGTCAGTGTCCTGGCGTCAGGATCAGGTTTGCCCTGCCAGTGTCTGACACAAAGCCTTCTCCTCCAGACGGGGCCTCCTCACCCAGCAGACCCATCTTGCCTCTGTACCTATAGCCTCCCTCCCTCTTTCCCCACACTGTCTGCCTTCACCTCCTCCAGGAAGTCTCCTCCGACTGCTCTCCCTATCTGCCCGCCTACTTGGATACGTCATTGCTTAGAAGCAACAGTGGTCCCTTTCTGTGGGGGGTCTCCCTCCCAGTCTAGGCTGGCAGCTCATCGAGGGCAGGGAGGTCGCCTTAGGAGGATTTGCATTCTTCAAGGTACTTGGTCTTGTGCACATAGGAATGCTCTGGAATATTGGTTGAATAAGTAGATAAAGGAGGGCATTTATAAAGAAGTAGGGGATGGCTGGGCCTGAGAGAGCCACTCCATGTGAGGTTTATGTGTTGGTGGGGGCCTTGGACCTTTGGGTGAGCAAGGAGATGTGGTTTGGAGTCATCTGGGCTGTGATCGGAGAGCATTCCTTGTTGGGTTGCCTGTTTTTGGTTAGGACACTGATTGGCAAGGATGAAGTCTTGCAGTCCATTTAAATATCTCTCTTGATTCCCTCCACACATGTGGTCTAACTCCTTGATTTATTATTGTTGTTGATGAGAATTTTAATATTTCCAGTCATGGAGTGTTTCCTATGCACCCTGCACGGTGCTAAGGAAGCACCGCACAGAGATTGTCCTGGGAGATCGATACCATTATCAGTCCCATTTTGCAGGTGAAGAAACTGAGGCTTAGAGAGGGAGGTCACTCGTTCAGGGTTACACTGCGAATGAAAGCAGTGGCGCAGGATTTGAATTCCTGTCCTTTGGGCTCTAGTACCCAAGCTTTTCCTGTCACGCGTGTGGTCATGCCCTCCTGCTTGTCCTCCTTATGTCTGACCATTAGCTACAGCAGCAGAAGCCCTTTACCTCGCGGGCCTGTCAACCAGAGTGGCCAGGTTCTGTTCTCTCAGCAAAAGCCTGCCAGCTTGATTTCTGTGTGAAATCCCCTGATTTGTGAATTGGGCAATAAGTTCCAAATTAAAAAGCAAGAGCAAACAACAAACTACCCTGTGGGCCCAACCATTGCTTCCCAAATAGAATGTGCTGGTGGTCAGATGTGGCTCCCGGGCTGTGAGTTTGCAGTCTCCGCTTTAAGACTTTGGCTTGTTTCTTTGCGCGCTGGACACTAAGGGCGAAAGGCATTTGTGCTTTGGGAATGTGTGAGAACAGTACTTGGTGAGTCAGGAGCCCAGGGTTTTCTTTGTGTCCTAGGGACAAGGGATTGCTGTAGGCCTCTATTTTCTATTCTGTAAAATGGATCCATTTTAAGTGTCTCTCTGGTGTTCCCTTCCATCTCTCCCATTTCCTGTATCCCAATTAGTTATCAATACTGCAAAGATTTAGCTCCCGGATTTATGTTGTTTGGTCCCACGTTGTCTTCGGAACCCTCTCCGAACACAGGTTCCGTTTGTCAGCAGACTTCAGGGGCACCTGGTTCACTGCTCACCACCCCAGGCCAGTGTGATGCGATTTGAAATGTTTTCTTTCTTTATTTCCAGCGTTTGGCGTGGAAAATGTTTGCGTTTTTGGTCCTGCTCTTTATGTTGTGACTACGCCACATGCTGGGTTTTCTTTTTGAATTTAGGCATAAATGAAATCTCGGAAGATGTTTACACGGCCGTAGAGCACAGCGATTCGGAGGATTCTGAGAAGTCAGACAGTAGCGATAGTGAGTATATCAGTGATGATGAGCAGAAGTCCAAGAATGAGCCGGAAGACGTGGAAGACAAAGAGGGTGCTCAGTTGGACAAAGAGCTGTCTGCTGTCAAAACAAAGCCCAAGCTGGCCAGCCCGGTGGAGATTAAAGAGGAGCTGAAAAGCGCTTCGCCCCCCAGCGAGAAAGCAGACCCCGGCTCAGTCAAGGAAAAGGCCAGCCCCCCGCCTGAGAAGGACTTCTCCGAGAAAGCCAAACCCTCGCCTCACCCCACAAAGGATAAGCTGAAGGGGAAGGATGAGACGGATTCCCCAACGGTCCACTTGGGCCTGGACTCTGACTCGGAGAGCGAACTTGTCATAGATTTAGGAGAAGACCATTCTGGGCGGGAGGGTCGGAAAAACAAGAAGGAACCCAAAGAACCATCTCCCAAGCAGGATGGTAAGTGACGCTCCCAGTTCCCGGTTTCTTGGTTTGGTTTCCAGTGCCACCATTCCTTTGTGTGACCCTCTAACGTCAGCACAGGAGACAGAGCAGAGCTGTGATTGGCTCACGGTCACCTCGCTGGCCACCTGATAGGACCAGGACTTCAACTGGGCCTGCCCTCCCTCCCCTCCCCTGCTCAGGACTCAGCATGGATGGTTTTGAGTTGAGAAAAGTCCCTTAGAAAATAAGTTGCTCCTGGTAGTCAAGTTATTCTTCGCCTAAGCAACTTCTCCCCTGGTACGTTTTTTTTTTTCATTTTCTCGAAGTATTTGTCAACATTTAGACATTTGACAAGATTGAAATTGTTAGGAGTGTTTCCTTTGAAGATTTTGATAAGTTTAGCTCCCCTTCCTCCCCCTCATGCTGCCCAGGCACCTCAGCGTGCGTTTTCTTACCAGAACCTGACACCATTTGGTAGGTGGTGCCAGGATGGTGAGCACTTCTTGGGGCACTAGAATTCCAAGGCGCACTGCGGGGTGCACACCTGAATCGGTCTTCACCATCTTTGCACTTAACCCATCTGATGCCGGGGATTTCAGCTCGGGGGCTACTGGCCTTTTGTGCCGCATAGCGCCTTGTCCTGTGCAGTGGGGGTGGTGAGCGGCATCCCTGGCTGCTCCCTGCTGGGTGCCCGTAGCACCTGCCCGGTTGAGGCCATTCAAAGCGGCTTGACATTGCCAGATGTCCCCTGGAGGCAAACTCTGCCCCGGTGGGAATCGCTGCCTGAGCCTCGGCCTGCTGTCATTGCTGCCATATAGCCTGGACCAGCCGTGGCCGCCGAAGCCGGCGGAGCCCATGCACGTTGACAGACCCCCAGAAGGAACGTCTGAGTGATTTGCAGGGTGTCCTTCCCATGGACAAAGCAGTCCGCGCATTTTTCAGTTGGGGTGGCAAATGGGTCGTGCGGAGAACCAACACGCCCAAGAAAGACTGGAGAATTCCCTGGGGGGCTCCGAAGACCCTTGCCTGAGGACACATTAGAGACGTAGCCATAGGGACTGTGTGAGGAACTTGAGGGACTGCGGGTTTCAGCTTTGACTGTGTCCATCTTCTGATAGGACCTAGCTGCCGACCCAGGCCCTTGAGTAAGATGACATTCTATGCCCCTGGGCATTTCTGAGCCCGGCAGCTTGAAAGGCAAGTCGGGGACGGGCCTTGAGAATCTGTCCTCGGTGGTTAATCAGCCGAGCTGCTCTGGAACCTGCACCCTGCAGGTCATCACAAGAGGCCGAGATGTCCCTGGATGGTGCAGTGGAGGGAGAGGGAACAGCTGGGGGCACAGGAAGGATCAACCACCACACCATCCCCGAGCCATCTCTTAGATTTATGGATGGTGTCTGAAAAATGTGATCCTGTAGCACAGTGGTTCTCAACCTTCCTAATGCTGCGACCCTTTAATACAGTTCCTCATGTTGTGGTGACCCCCAACCATAAAATTATTTTCGTTGCTACTTCATAACTGTAGTGTTGCTACTGTTATGAATCGTAATGTAAATATCTGATATGCAGGATGTATTTAGGCGGCCCCTGTGAAAGGGTCGTTCAACCCCCAAAGGGATCGTGACCCACAGGTTGAGAACCGCTGCTGTAGCGGAATGGGGTTTGAGGGGCCTCCTCTGCTGTTTCAGAGGGAACAGTAGGAGCAGCCTTTGTTCCACCTGAGGGACCAGTTGGGTGCAGATGGGAGTGCTCCTATGAATGTTGTATTTATACTGTTCCTTTCTTTCTGGAACAAATCTTTTGACTGATTGGTTTAGTGCCTCTTCCTCTTCCAGAAAGGATTTGGCGAGAGTACATAATCATGAGATAAAGTTGGGTTTTCATTTTTGCTGTGAGCTTCCTAGCAGTCAAAGCAAAAAGGGAAACACAGTCCCTTAAAAGGTGTCACAGTTTCCAAAAAATAAAAAAAATTCCATTGATTAGATGAAGTAGACATCTGAGGGAAGTTTCTTGCACTAACATCTGAGCGAAATTTCTCCAGGAACCCCCGAGTGTTGGGGGGATTAAGCTGAAGATGATTATAAAACATTATTCAGTCAGAGCAGGTCCTTACAGGTGGGGCAGAACCGACTGGTCTTACATCCAGATCCCCCTGATGGTGGTTTGGGTCTTGAAGAATCGGCTTCATGTCGAACTTTGCATTAGAACATCTTTTCAATGATGTGCTTTTACTTATAAATTTATTAAAGTGAAGGGCATTTTGGAGTGTGCTGTGGTGACCTCCAACTCACCTGCAGGTAGGAATGCAGCTGGTGCGTAGGAATCCTCAAATAGTAAAACAGCTTTTACCGCTAGTGATCTCAGGCAGAGGCAAAGGGAGTTCACTTGGAGACCTTTGCTCTGCTTACCTGTAACATCACAGATTCCCATCCTTCTCTTACAAGGTCCTGTATGCACACGACAGTGACCAAGCTCTGGAATAAGTAGATGAGCTTGATGGGCGATTTCTGGTGTGCGGGCCTTTCAGAGATTCACCCTTTGTTGGGCTATAAGTGATGGATCAGACACTCTGAATTTCTAGGACAGATGGAATTTCCCACAGCTTCTTTTTTTTTTTCTTCTTCTCTATAAATCATCAGAATCCCCTAGAAATGAAATATTTTAGTGTCTGAAGGATAACCCCCAAAGAGTACTTGGAGGCTGGAATCTTTTCAGATTGCACACTCCTGGTTTTTATTTGGGAAAACGGGCCAGGCATGATTCCTGCACAACTGTTACCATAGGCAGAGCCCTGAGAGAGAACAGGACCCTTCCTGTGGTTGCCCTTTGCACCGGGGAGGATTCGGCTAGCTCGTCAGCAAGAACAGCATATTATTTGGTCACATGGCAGGAAAGGGGAGGTATTGAAGGCCCTTCTGCAGGTTGGACATCCTGCTGGCCCCCTGCCCCTGTGGGCTTTTAGTAGCGCCTGGTTCCAAGCCACCTGTGCTAGAAGGGCAGGGGCTCTGGGGCCCAGGGTCGGGTGCCCTGGAAAAGGATTGGGGCTCCTCACTGTAGGAAGAGTTCCCCATCCAGCCCCACCCTGTGCTCTTGCCCTTGAACTTGGCTGAGGATCAGGAGGGCCAGCCAGATGTGATAACCACCAAGAAAGCCCCCAGTCAGAAAAGTCAGCTTATCTTTTCTTCTTAATTTCCTTGGAGATCCCCAAACCCATAATAGCTCACCGAGCATCTCCCTGAGAAGCATAGCCAAGCGCAGATCTTCCCCAGGTGATATCAATCTAAAAAGACAGGCTGAGTCCTCGTGGAAAGAGGTTTGGTGTCCAGGCACATTGTCAGGTTGGGGTGCTGACTTGCACCTGTGCTTTGCGTGTGATCCTCAGGGATTCCTCTCCCCGGTGGCTGGGACCCCTTTACAAGTGGCGCCCTCACGTGGTCATCCCCTTTGCAGCGCTCAGCGCTCCTGGCTCTCATCTGCCTGCTGGCCACTCCTCACCGCCTACCGTCAGTCACCGCAGTGCAATGCTCCCTGTTCCTAAGTACATCTTGGCGAGTGCTGTTCCGCTCCAAATTCTCATCTCTGCCTGTTGAAATGCTGCTCCCTGGCCCCACAGCCCAACTCCTCCCAGAAGACATACTCCATAATACGGCTTTTCTCAAACTTCAGACATTCACGGTGGTGGTTTGTTGTCATTCCCAAATCCTGCTTGTATAATTACTGACTTAATATTTTTATTTGAAGCAAGCTACTCTTTAAAAAAAAATCTAAGCCTATTTTAGACTTAAACGTGCCACCTCACAGTAGCGAAAGTAGTAGTGTGTGCTATACCTAAAATACAAGCCAGGGAAGTACACAGTCAACACACAGTCCAGGTCCGGAAGTCTAGGTAAATACCACTGTGTTGGGAGGGCTCTGGTCTTGGGCGGGTTCCTTTTGAGTTAGGTGTCAGGGCTCCACCATGCTGGAGGGACTCGGGAGAGATGACAAGGATACCTTTACTTCGGAATGATTTAATGTGACTCTTGGGCCGTTGGGAAGCCACCAGGTCTCCCAGGCACCTGTGTACCTAGCCAAAGGGCTCCTCTTGATCTCTGGATTCAGTTGGGCTGGGTCTTTCTCAGGTGCTTACCCAAGTCTCACTTTGGAAAACAAGACGGTTGCAGCCAACCAGCCCAGGAGTTCATGGGCAGCTTGAGGGCAGGGCCTGGGTCACCTGTTTCCCCCAGGGGCCTTGGCATGCATGTCTCCAAGGTGAGGCGCTGAGGAGATAAGGTGAGAATGTGCTCCTGGGCATGCACTGAATTTGCTGGTCATTTCTGGCCTTAGGTTGTTTCCCTGAGAACTTGCTGGCGGAGAGGCCCTGCCGGCAAACCTGACTCAAGTCCACTTTTTGTTTATTTTTTCCACGCAGTGACTCTAGTTGTAGCTAAAGCTCCACCACTGTCCACTGCGGCCGGCAGCCAGTCTCCCCCCGAAACGCCGGTCCTCACCCGCGCGTCCTCCCAAACTCCCACGGCTGGTGTCACGGCCACCACCAGCACCACGTCCACGGTCACGGCCCCGGCGGCCACCGCCACCGCCACCATCACGGGAAGCCCAGTGAAAAAGCAGAGGCCGCTTTTACCGAAGGAGACTGCGCCGGCCGTGCAGCGGGTCGTGTGGAACTCCTCAAGTAAGTTTCAAACGTCCTCCCAAAAGTGGCACATGCAGAAGATGCAGCGCCAGCAGCAGCAGCAGCAGCAGCAGCAAGGCCAGCAGCAGCAGCCTCAGTCTTCCCAGGGGACGCGATATCAGACCAGACAGGCTGTGAAAGGTACCAGCCCCCCTTCTGCTCTCCGTGGCACCCCGGCCCTCTGTGCCACCTCGACAGGAGACACAAAACAGAAACCGTTGTTTTATTTTTCTCAGTTCCCCTTCGTTTCCTGGCCACGGCAGCCCCAAGGCCATGCACATTCCACTTGGCATTATTTTTAAAAGTTGTTTCGCAACTCGCATTTTTTACATTTGTTTCCATTTTTTTTTTTTCATTTTGCAAACAATACATGTGCATATTCTCGAGATACTGGCACACGTCTACTGTTCCGATCGACTGACCTTTCATTTTATGCGTCTCAGCGGCCACTGTGAACCGTACAACCTTTTTTATGCATGTCTGCATATATATTTATACATATATATGACTCTTCATAAAAACACTACTTTTTTTTCCTTTTTTTCTTTTTTACAACATGAAAATGGTACCATTGTCTTTCACCCATCAGCATGTTTTGGAGGTCTGTCCACGTCCGTACACACAGCGCCCCCTTGCTCTTTCCGACTGCTGCATAGCGTTCCCTGGTTTGTGTGAAGGCTGCTTCCTGGTTTTATCCTGGGAGCAGCGCTGCGATGCATGCCGTTGTGTGCGTTCCCTGTGCACACCTGTCGTGAACCTTTTGGTGTTATTTTGGAAAGAGTGCAGTGAGAAGTTGGTAGCAGAGGCTACCTTACTGGCGAGGAATTAGCCACATCCACAGGAAGAGCCAGCATCAGAAACCAGTTGCTGAAGGTGCAGAATAAAAATCTCTTCTGGCCGTGCAGGGCGCTCCATCTGGAGCTGACAAAGGGGATGCCCGTTTGCTCAGCTTTTGTGAGCGCCGGCGTAGATCTTACTCCACGGGGCACCTGCACCCAAGGTTGGGCTCCTTCACTGAAACTCTTGTGTAGTGAGTGCACCCTAGTGATTAGGACTCTTTTTTTTTTTTTTTTGAGTTTCTCTCTCTCTATCTTTTTTAAATTGACCTTAGAGGGGAAGTGAGGGGGAGAGAGAGAGAGAAGTATTGATGTGACAGAAACATTGCTCGTGCTCTGACCAGGGATCGAACCTGCCATCTGCTGGTACGGGATGACGCTCCAACCAACTGAGCCACACCAGCCAGGGCTAGTCGGACTCTTAGGAGTAGCATCAGGACAGGATGTTAAAAGGCAGCCAGCCAGATCTTGCATTGGGCTCCCCAGTAGAAACCCTTCCAAGACTGGGGAGCAGGAACACTGGGCGATTGCACGGGCAAAGTTGGGGTAAAACTGGTTTGATCTCACCTTTTAAAGTGTTGATCGGGTCCTGAGATAGAGATGGCGGGTCCCAGGCTTCTGCCTTCGGACCCCAGGAGCATTCCGAGCTTAGGCTAGAAGGCGGCCCAGTGCTGTGGTTCTCAATTTGCACGTTGTCTTGTGTCAAAGACCAGCAAAGCTGGACACTAGTTGAAGTGGGAGGGACAGAATTTAATCGGCAGTGTCCTGCTGCAATAGGGAAAGAAGTCCATTGTGAACTTTGATTTGTACAGAGGTGACTGGGTGTTTTAAAAGGAGGACGAGGGAATAGCAAGGGGGGTGAGTGGGGACTCAATAGAGTCAGGGAAGTGAAATTTTACAAAAAGTGGGAGGTGGGGTTGGTCCATGTGAAACCACCTGAATTTGCTGACTGGTACCTATCGAAGCGAGGCCCTTCTTCCCACAGAGCTGGGAGACGGGCCTCATCGGTAGGTGTTGGCTGGAACAGCCATTTATTTGGGTGGCCTTGAGTTTTCTCAGGGAGGCTGGGTCACCTGAGGGATGCTGTCTGGAGCCCTTAGAGGCCATGGTAAGCCTGTTGAAGTCTTTACAGACTACATTCGAGGATTAGTCGAGAGAGGGCGCGGAGCAGCCTGGCTGGAGTTTGGTTAGGAGAGCGACTCTGTCCCCTGAGAGTGAAAGCTCGCAGGTGTCTATCGGTTTCCCGCCCTCACCACAGCTGCGCGTGGGGACCGTGGGGACGGCCCTTCCTGCAGCCAGGGCTGACCGAGACCCTTTGTTTCCCCAGCTGTCCAGCAGAAGGAGATCACGCAGAGCCCGTCCACGTCCACCATCACCCTGGTGACCAGCACTCAGTCGTCACCCCTGGTCACCAGCTCGGGGGCCACCAGCACCCTGGCCTCTTCAATCAACGCAGACCTTCCCATCGCCACTGCCTCCGCCGACGTCGCCGCGGACATCGCCAAGTACACTAGCAAAGTGAGTGCCAGCAGGCACCCGGCGGGCGGGCGGTCAGGGGTCCCGCTTCCTGACGGGTACTGTTTGGGGCACGACCTCCCAGCTCTCAGGGGCTGTTTAGGAGAGCAGGCCCCGTTTTCACTGAGGAGCTCCAAGACTGAATTCTCCCCTTTGGGCCTGACGTTGGCCCTCCGCAGAGACATGTAGACTAGACTAACCCTTACTCTGAGAGAGCTCAGATCCTAAAGCCAGTACCTCACAGGACGGCGATGGCCTAGAGTCAGAATTACCCTTCAGCACGGAGTCGCTCATGACGGACAGGTTTTCCTTAACGGCGGGAACAAGTTTCTGATCCTTCAGTTAACAACAGACTTAGGGTTGGTTTGTTTTGCATTTTGAAGCCACATAGAACCAAAGTGATAGAGGCTTAAATGTGAGGCATGCAAGGTATGATGCCCGCACCTAGGTTTTTCCAGGAACCAAGAGGACGGGAAGGAAGGCGCGCGCGCTCTCTCTCTCTCTCTCTCTCTCTCTCTCTCTCTCTCTCTCTCTCTCTCTCTCGACTGGCCCATCCTCGGGGCGGAGTCCTTGTTGAGTGGTGTGGAGGCGGGATTCCCACTGGGGGTGTTCTCTCAGCGAGGTGTTTTTCTTTTCTCTCTTGATTTGCCAAGGGCTCTTATGCTCTTGTTGAATCGGGCGAATAAAACATGGAGATCTCGGCGACCTCTGTGTGTGCTCTGCGGTGATGCGCAGGCACGTTCCAGCAGACCTCTCGGTGGTGAGAACCACCATCGGAATGTCAGGTGCACAGTAGGTGGTTGGTGCCGAGCTGCTGAATGGGTGCCTGTTGTTCCCTAACTTCTCATCGTGGGTGTCACTGGCAGTAACGGTTAGTAGTAGTTAGTGAGTGTTAATCTAACGATGCAGTAAGTTAAGTAGGTAAATATAAAAATGTACTCTTTAAGGGTAAGTAAATTGGTTACTAGTGAGTAAACTATTTCGTTTATAGAGAGAGTGGGTGGAACTAGTTAAGAACAGTTGTTTCTTGAATTCTTGAAGTCTTATTTATAATAAAGTGTTGCTGTTATGTTGTGTTAAAGGTAGAATCTTTTTCAATTCTGGTGGCATGAAACATATAGACCTAATGTTTTACCAGTGAGTTTTTGTTGTTCATCTAAAAAAATTCCTTCTCTCAAGGAATTATGTTAGTTACCTGTTGCTGCATAACAAATGGCTACAACTTCTCACAGGCTTCTTATCAGTTTGTGTGGGTAAGGCTCAGTGGGTCCTTCCTCAGGCCTCGGGCTGCGCGCAGTCCTAGGGTCGGAGTTTCGCCTGAAGGTTTTATAGGGAAGGATCCCCTTTCCCCCCTCAGTTCCCAGCTGGTTGTGCCCTGAAGGCCCCCCCTTGCTGTGTGGGTCTTCCCCACATGGCAGCTCGCTCCACCAAAGCCAGGGAGAGAGAGCCTGTGAGCAAGATGGACGTTTCCATCTTATGTAGCATCGTCACAGGCATGACACCCACGACCTTCTTCATCGATGAGAAGGTCACCAGGCCGACCATCTTGGAGTCTGTCGTACTGGCTAAGATGATAGCAGCAACAGCTTATGTGTGCATGGCTTGTACTGTGGGTTCCACACTGTATGTTTTTGTATGTGGCTTAGTTTTACTCTTAATGACAAATTGATGGGGTGTGAGTACTGTTACCATCCCCATTTCATAGATGAGAAAACTGAGGCCCAGCGAGGTTATGCAACTTGTCTAGGGCCACACAGTTAGTGAGTGGTTGGACGGGGATTTGAAGGGTAGCAGCCAGGATCTAGACCAGTGATGCCGAACCTTTTGAGCTCGGCATGTCAGCATTTTGAAAAACCCTGACTTAACTCTGGTGCCGTGTCACATACAGAAATTTTTTGATATTTGCAACCATAGTAAAACAAAGACTTATATTTTTGATATTTATTTTATGTATTTAAATGCCATTTAACAAAGAAAAATCAACCAAAAAAATGAGTTCACGTGTCACCTCTGACACGCGTGTCATAGGTTTGCCATCACTGATCTAGACAGTGGCTTTGAGCTGGTTTGTGAATTCTCATGCAGCCTGCTAACCACACATGTCCGATGTCCCCAAAAACTGATTGTTCTTGCATGTGGCTGTTTTCAACCAGTCCTACTTAAGATGCAGAGTGGCTCAAGAGGTAATCAGAATCTAGTCTTGGGGATGACTTTGTAGTATATCTTCCCCTTTTTGAATAAAACGCATGAATGGTTATAGAGTTCACAGTGGGAAGATTCAAATGTCGGTTATTTTGGGCCATTCTCAAGATTTTTGTCTTACCCATTCACCTCCTGAACTAGTAGTATTGACTTAATATTTTTATTTAAATTAAATTTTATTTAAATTGACTTTAAAAATTAAATTTAACCTCACCAGATACCATTCCTCGTCCATTCCTTTTACCATCAAAGTGTTAAAGACACATAATGGCACCAATCGGAGACTTTCTTCCTAATCCAGTCTGTCGGGTTTCCAGAGAATTGAAAGGGGAGTAATTTTTTCATTACTGATTTGAGAAGATCCTGGAGTTGCCCAAATGGTCTCTTTTCTGCTTGCAGTGAACGCGCGTATCACCTTCCGTTGATTTGGTCCAAACTGTCTGTTTACAGATGAGAAAACTGAGGCCTGGATTTGGCTAGTGGTTTTTATGGAGCCAGTAGTGACGGCTCATGCAGCCATTAAAAAAAAAAAAAAAGTGTTTATTGGTTTTAGAGAGTGAGGAAGGGAGAGGGATAGAGGGAAACATCGATGCTTCCATGGGCTGCCTCCTGCACTCCCCCTCCTGGGGATTGAGCCCGAAACCTGGGCATGTGCCCTGACCAGGAGTTGAACCTTTTTGGTGCATGGGATGACGCTCACCCATTTAGCCACACCAGCCAGGTGGCCTCCCCCTTTACTCTTAAGCAAAATGGAGGGATGAACTTTCTGATAGCAGTTTTCTTTGCTGTGAAGAAAATGGCCATGGTGACATGTTTTTGGAGCCAATGAACTTTTCTGTCTCCAGGGTGACCCCGAGTTGAAGACCCAGATTTGTGTGTTTTGGCAGAAGGGCGCTCTCGAACGTAGTGTTCTTGGCTATATTTGGAAGTAAGAGTGAAAGTCCGTCCACAGATTCATGATTTCTTGAGAATGGAATGTAACCGTGGCGTTCGGAAAGGATTGAATTTCATCCATTTTCTAAAGTTTTCATGTAAAGCAGTTTCGTTCTCATACTGTAACGTGGACGGTGCAGTGGGGTCAGGAGGCCGGCCATAGCGACGGACCGCGAAGCTGCATCAAGCAGTGTTTTTGCTGGCAGCGTCCCAGTGTGGCCGCAGCAAGCGGGGAGCGCCCCATTTGGGGGTCAAGTTGGGGTTACTGTTCTGGGGGTTGGCAGGATTTCACAATTACATGCTCATGTGAATTTGTTTTTCTGTGAAAGTCAGATAAACGGGTATTTCTTTATGAACACCTACTCTGTGTGGCAGGGGCTGAACCACAGACTGCATGTGGTTTTCTCTTTAATCCTCGTGCACACTCTACGAGGGGGCGCTGTTGTTATCCTTGTTGTCTGCATGGGGAAACTGAGGCTGGGAGAGGGTGGGTAGTAAGAGGTAGTGGTGGGTTCAGATCTCGGGCAGTAGATACCAGGTGCTCTTTGTCCTGCACTGAAGCTGCAAAACACAGGGGAGACTCGGCAGCAGCCAGGCCACGCCCGAGACCGCGGTTTGTTCTTCTGTCCGCTCCTCTTTCCCCGGGATGCTGGAGGGTCAGCCGGCACGTGGGAGGTAGGGGGGGATTCATCCTGCAAACACATTTGGTCCTCAGCTTTTTCTGTGGACCTGAGCTGATGTCACACACTTGCTGGTGCCCTCATGGGTCCGATAGTTAGACAAACTGGAAAGGCAATGCCCTAATCAAAGGCATTAAGATAACAAACCAGCCACACCCACACAATGGACTATATTATTTGCCATAAAAAGGCATCGAGTACTGATACACCTTTGGGAACAGATAAACCTTGAGAAGAGTGTGCTCAGTCCAAGAAGCGGGTCCCAGAGGACCACACACTGAATAATTCCACGTATGTGAATTCTCTGGATTTAGCTAATCTGAACAGATAGGGAGCAGATTAGTGGTTGTCGGGAGCCTGGGGGGGTGATGGGCATCTTGGGGGGGGGGGGTGAAGGTTAAGGGGGAGTGGAGTTTCTTTTTAGGATAACAAAAAGGTTCTAAAATTGATTGTGGTGATGGATGTAGAACTCAATATGCTAACAGCCACTGAACTGTACACTGTAAATGGGTGAATTATAGGGTTTAGCAATGATCCTATATAATAAAGAGCTAATATGCTAATTAGACCAAATAGCCAAATGACCTTCCTGACGTCTTTCCTGATGAAGCCAGGGCCAGAGGGAAGCCAGCCTGGGTCTGGGTGCCTGCAGGCAGCTGGAAGGAAGCAGCCCGGGTCCCAGGTGCCTGTGGGTAGCCCGAGGAAAGCCAGCCCGGGTCCCGGGTACCTGCCGGTGGCTGGAGGGAAACGTGTCAGCAGCCTGGGAAAGAAAGGCCTACTCTTGCACGAATTTTCGTGCATCGGGCCTCTAGTATCTCAATAAAATGGTTTTGTTTTTTAAAGGGAAAGAATTGAACAACAACAGCAACAAAACAAAGTATTCCCCCCCCCCCCCCCCCTTGAACCCCTATGCTGGCTACTCCAAATGCTCCTGGGGCTGTCGACCACTCCAGTATAGCCTGTGGCCATAGAAACTAGCTTTATGGTTGTGAACTTGTCCTGGCAGATGGGACAGGGAACGTGTGGGTGGTCCCGACCCTGGTTTATATCAGGGTCTCTTACCTCAGCACTAGTGACCTTTGGACTGGGTAATGCTGTTGTGGGGGCTGTGCTGTGCACTGTAAATGTTTAGGGCGCCTCTGGATTCTACCCACTAGATGCCAGTGTCATCGTCGCCCCCCCCCCCCCCCCTGCTCCCTCACCAGTTGTGAGTCCCCCAGATGAGACCCGCTGCTTCACGCAGATGGAGTTGAGAGGTGTCTCATCTAGAAAAGCCTCGGGGAAGTGATTGCCTGAATTGTTTCTCTTTTTATCTTTCAGATGATGGATGCAATCAAAGGAACAATGACAGAAATATATAATGACCTTTCCAAAAACACTACTGGGAGCACAATAGCTGAGGTCAGAGATGACGGTTAACTCACTGTTCGCTGCGAGTGTTTTGTGGGCCGCTGTAGGATGGCGCCATGAAGAAGCTTCTCGGGGAAATCCCTCCAGGGCCTGGCCCGGTCGCCAGGCTTGCTCAGCTGGTTGGAGTTGTTGGGGAGGGTGTTTCTCACTGAGCCAGAAGGCTGATGCTGTGTGTGATCAGTTCATTTTTCATAAAACCGCCCAAACCAGCGCCTGAGTTCATCCACTGGTGAAACTGGAAACCAGGTCCTTGTGCTCCATGTAAAATTGGCTCCTTGGTCTTTTTATTTATTTATTTTTATTATTCTTTAAAATATATTTTATTGATTTTTTTTTACAGAGAGGAAGGGAGAGGGATAGAGAGTTAGAAACATCGATGAGAAACATCGATCAGCTGCCTCCTGCACACCCCCTACTAAGGATGTGCCCGCAACCAAGGTACATGCCCTAGACTGGAATCGAACCTGGGACCCTTCGGTCCGCAGGCCGATGCTCTATCCACTGAGCCAAACTGGTTAGGCTCCTTGGTCTTTTTATACAAGAGATCCTTGTTGTCTAAGAATGTGTGGCCCCAGCCTGCACAGTTTCTGTGAGGGCCTGGGGAATCCAGTCATGAAACGCTAAAATGCCCACTTCCAAAGTGACCACTTGTAAACATCGGCCTCCACGAACTTCTCTCTCAGGCAGATTCCCTGCGAGCCAGATGCAGAAAGGGCACCAGGTGAAAGCAGAAGTGGCGGGGTTTCTTGAGGCCACTGAGAGGGCCCCGTAGAAGGTGGGAATCCCAGGCAAAGTCATGGCCTGAGGAGGGCCTGGCGGGCCCAGCCTGGCGCTCAGGCGAAGGGAGAGTCTTCAGGAAGGTGCCTCGAGCGGCCTCGGCAGAGCGCAGTGTGGCTAGCAGGCGTGGGAGAGGCCCCAGGAGAGAGCAGCGAGTCACCTGGATATTTAGTTTTCTGAACCAATGTCTTGTGCACTTGGGTTAACGCACTGGCCTCTCTCTGGACTGTAGCCGTGTGGAGAGCAGCTCCTTCACCACCTGAGGTTGACCTGACAGCCAGGAGAGCTCGGGCTCCTGGGCTTCGCGGGTGAGCGGCTCCCAGACCCGCCCTTTACGTCTCTCTCTGTTGTTACAGATTCGCAGGCTGAGGATTGAGATCGAGAAGCTTCAGTGGCTGCACCAGCAGGAGCTCTCCGAGATGAAACACAACTTGGGTGAGGCCTGGGGAGGGGTCTGCCCCGAGCAGGGTCGGGGACAGTGAACGTCCCTGAACCTCTGGAGTCAGGCCCGATGTGAATTGAGTCAGATGTGCACCAGGGGTTGTCCGGCTCCTGGGGGGCCCACCGGGAGGACCTAGGCATGAAAGCAGGTATTAAAGCCGCTCCTTTCCTCTCTGGAAAACACCAGCATCAACAAAATAACGGTAACAGCAGCACCCACAGCTCCGACTTATTAAACTCTTAACCTAGAACCAGAAGCCTTCTGAAGCACTTTTTCATAAGTTAGCCAGTTTAATTCTTACGGGAACCCTTGCGACAGAGGGCTCTCCGGTCCCAGTATTCAGGTGAAATTGAGGCACAGACATGCTAAGGTAGATGTTCAAAATCGTGCCGCTGTGATTCGCATCCAGCCTTGCCCCCCGAACCGCTGACGGTGGAGTATTCTGACTAAGTTCTGAATATTGCCTGTGCAGCCCACGCTGGAGACAAAGCTGCCCTGTTGGTCCCTGGATTAGATGGGCTGCTGTTCCACCTACCATTCTGTGTAAATACTGGTAATTATTTTTTCCCCCAGAGGTAGAGCCTCTTTCTTCCAGACCCTCATTTAATGTCAGTCCCAGGGTCAAGATGCTGCAAACAAACATAGGCTGTCTTTGTTGGGCAGGCATGCCCAGCTGTGCCCACCGCTCCCCAGGGATAGAAGCGGAAATCACCCCCTGCAAACTCAAGTCCTTATGAGGCCAACCAGAGGAGCAGCCCTCCACTCTTTAGCGTGTTACCATCAGGAAGTTATTGCTTCTTGTTTTTCTAGTCAGGTCAAATAACCTCTCTCTCTTTTTTTGTTTGGTCATCTTCACCCGAGGAGATTTTTCCATTGTTTTTTAGAGAGAGTGGAAAGGAGGGAGAGAGACAGGCAGAGAGAGAGAACGTGTTTGTGAGAAAGTCACATCAATTGGTTGCCTCCCACATGTGCCTCAGTTTTCTCATCTGTGAAAAGGGTATTATAGTAGTACTTGCCTCATAGGATCAGTATCTGGATTAAATGAGTTAAGATTTCAAAAGTGCTTAGAACACTCTCTGCATATAGCAGGTGCTGTGTAAGTAGAAAGAAAGGCTTTTCAGTAGAAAGAAAGGCTGGTGCTAATGAGTTTAGTGGCAGTTGTTTTGCGGGTTTATTTGAAGGCTTCCCACAGAACTACTGTGGTGCTGCCTTGATTGCTCTATCATTATTGAGATAATGTCCTGTTACTGTCATATATGATGAGGCAAATGTCATGCCATTGTGACACGCGCCCATTTTACAGATGAAGACGTTGGGGCTCAGGGAGGGAGGGGTGTCACACAGCCGGGCTATCTCCGAGCCAGGGTTTGCCTCAGATCTGGTCTGAACAACCCCTGCCCGGGCCCAGGGACAGGCGATGGAGCCAGTGTCCTCTCCCCTCCTCTGCCAGAGCTGACCATGGCGGAGATGCGGCAGAGCCTGGAGCAGGAGCGGGACCGGCTCATCGCCGAGGTGAAGAAGCAGCTGGAGCAGGAGAAGCAGCAGGCGGTGGATGAGACCAAGAAGAAGCAGTGGTGCGCCAGCTGCAAGAAAGAGGCCATTTTCTACTGCTGCTGGAACACCAGCTACTGCGACTACCCCTGCCAGCAGGCCCACTGGCCCGAGCACATGAAGTCCTGCACCCAGTCAGGTACGGCCACGCAGGGCATGTCCAGCCCAGCTCCCCGGGGACCACAGGCCACAGGAGGGTGACTCGGAGGGGGCCTTGCCCAGCCCCTCCTCCGTCCGTCACTCAACACACACTGTCTCTCTCTCTCACACACACACACACACACACATAGAGCAGCGTGCACACACAGCAGAGACTACAGGTGCAGGTTTTGGAACCTCTGGATTCTTGGTGTTATTTGCCCAAGTGTGGGGCTTGCAGTGCGAGCCCAGATGAGTTTAGTTTCATGCGAGTTGCAGCGGTTCCCAGCGGGGAGCCATGTCTGTGTCCTGTCCCCCACGGGGTTGGCGGTGACTGCAGACATCTGCGGTGGTTACAGCGGAGGGGTGGCTACTGCCTTCGAGAAGGTAGAGGCCGGGGGTGGGGGCACAGGGTGGTCACCCACGCGGAGCATGATCTGATCGGTACCTGTCATGATACCGAAGTGGCGAAGGCCTGCTGTTTAGGGGATCCTTTTAGTCGTAAGGATTCCAGTTCTGGTGAAGGAAACGCCTTGGTGTGGAACTGATCCAGTCTTGCAATCTCTTTCTAGCACATGGCACGCGGGTCTCAGCCAGGAGCCTCCGGCAGGAGACACTGTCCCGTTAGAATGGATTAATGCTATTTTAAAAACAGTATTTACAGCTAGCTTTTATTGATGGCAAATAATATTAGCTATATGTGCGTAGAATTAGAAGTGTCCATTTTAAGTATTTAAATGTAAAAGCCATCAATAATATGACAAGGTAGTGTGCCTGTAGATTGGCAGGATTTTCAAAGGTGACGGCGTAAGAGGCCCGTTAAAAGTTGTTTTTTCTAAAAAGACGAGTTTAAACCATACATGGCTGTGTCCTTTAACCTTCTTCAGGGAGATTTCTTCTTCTAGTGACTTTGAACCTCCCAGGTTCTGGAATGTGTCTGATGACCCCTTGCGTTGTTACGCGACGGCCAGAGTCCCCTTCTGCTCTCCTGTCTTAGCATCATAATGTCCCTCCTCCCGAAATTCTCTCGCATCCCTAGTTTTCCAGTTGTCCAAGTTTCTTCAGTCCCCCAAGGCTCCGTGCCTCTGACCATCATGTTGCTTTTCACGTGGATTTCCCCCGCCTCCTCTGAAGGAAGCAGTTGCATGGGGCTAAACTCGTTCTGGAACTAGAACTTAGGAAGCTTGCCATTCTAGGTGAGCAGTAGCTGGCTCCTCACCTGGGCCTTCATTTATTCTGTGAACATGCTTTCGTCTCCAGAATCATTTAGGAAAACACAAATTCCTATAAGCGTGACCCTATTTTCACACAGGTCTGGATTCCAGCTTCTGGAAAACGGGAGGTCTGGCCCCCTTGGGGGGTGGGTCAGTGTGCCGAGCCGTTGTGCTCCCATGTCCTGTGGTCCCTGAAGGTCCGGAGGCCACGGCACTCGGCTTACACGTGGCTTCTCTCCCCTTCACCTCCAGCTACCGCCCCTCAGCAGGAAGCGGATTCCGAGTCGAACACAGAAACACTAAACAAGTCCTCCCAGGGGTCCTCCTCCAGCACACAGGCCGCCCCTTCAGACACAGCCAGCGCCTCGAAAGAGAAGGAGACGTCTGCTGAGAAGAGCAAGGACAGCGGCTCGGTGAGCACCCGCACGCCATGGGGCGACGCCGATCCCCTGGGCCAGGAGAGTCTGTCCCTGTCCCCAGGCCTGCCTCCCCCGAAACTCGCCCGTTGCAGTAGATGGTCCGTCTTCAAGGTAGGGCAGTCAGGCTGCGGGGGGGATGGGTCTTAGCAGGTGTTAGCAGGTCGCCTTCTCACTGGCGGGCACCCGGGCGGGGGCAGCGGAGTATGGAGTCCAAGGTGACACTCGTGTGACTCGACAGCTGCTCCCCTGTTGAGGTTTAGAACAGCGTTGTCTGGGAGAACCTTCGGTGGTGAGGGGCGTGCTCTGAGTCTGCGCTGCCCAGTCTGCAGCCACGAGCCACACGGGGTGTGAGTTCCTCTGATGCCCATCGTCGCGTGGGCTCGAGGCTGCGGTGGGGCAGTGGAGGCCGCCTCTCTCCCTGCCCCGCGTGGGGAGTGTCCGACGGATTGTCTGTCAGCAGCATTGTAGGTGGCATGTGGGTCATTTTCTACATTTTTGGTCATAATGACTTGACTTGTGTGAGGAGAGAAATCAGTCATTATCCCACCAGTCAGAACCCCTTGATTCCAGTGATATTTCCTCGTGAGAGGTGAATGTGAAATACAAGGGAACTGACACAGTTTTGGAGGAATAGACTTCCTCTTTGGAGATGGCAGCTCTGGAGGGCTGGCAGGCCACTCAGCGGAGGCGCGGAGGCAGCGAGTGTTCTGGGAGCTGAGGCTGAGGGTTGAGTCAGGGCCGCCCTGGGGCTGTGGTCCAGCCTTTCGGGCCTGGGGACAGCGCACAGGTGGGGGGCCACCCCCGCTGACCTGCCTCCGCTGCCTGTGTCACCGGGCAGAGGGCACAGAGGTGCCTCGGGGGCAGAAATGAGCACCCCCAAGGATCCCTGGACTCCCCTGGGGGCTCCATGGGCCCCGGTGCCGTGAGTCCATCTCTCTCTCTTTGTATTTCTAGACCCTCGACCTTTCTGGCTCCAGGGAGACGCCCTCCTCCATTCTCTTAGGCTCCAACCAAGGCTCTGGTACGTTGCCCCCTGGTGGGTGAATGGCGCGCTCATTCCACGCGGGCAGAGGGGAAGCCATTTCCTTAGAGAGAACTTGAAGGGTTAATGGATGTCCAACTGCCGTGGATCCTTAGGGATCCTTGGGGGTGCCCTGGGCGGGTCAGTGGGGGTGAGGGAGTGGCTGGGCAAGGCAGCTGTCAGACACCTCTGAAGTGACCAGTGTTTGCCTGTACAGTAAGTCCTCACTGAATGTTGCCGATAGGTTGTGCAACTTGAAGCGAAACGATGTTTAACGGAACCGGTGTTACTGTAGGCCAGTGGCTATAAGCATCAATCTTGTAATGAAGTGACATTGAACAAAACGGTGTTATTGAGGACCTGCTGTGTTTACTTCCTGGGGATCCACATAGGACTTCATCTGGACAGGGGGTTCCGTTGTGGACCTGGGTGGGTAGGAGATGTGCTTGGGGGTCGGGCCGCCCTTCTGCCCCCAGGGAAATGACCAGGATAAATTAAGCCAAGGGAAACGATTCCAGCACCTGTGTTTGGGGGATGACGGCACTCGAGCCTCTAGGGAAATGAAGAAAAATTTTAGGTGGATGGATGATCTTTCTGTAAAAACCGTTCCTCTTAGGAATAAATAAACGGGCAGGCTGCATTGGGAGATTTTCCAAGACTGAATTTTGGTTTTTCTCTTCTGTGAGATTTGAGCTGTCCTCCTTTCTGGCCCGAAGGGTCTTTGTCCTGTACCCTCTACACCTGTTGTGGGTCATTCCAGAAGGCTTCCAAGAAGGTATCTTCACTGAGGACAATTCTGCTTAATTCAAGGTTTTTCAGCTCTAAGATCTCTCTCCGCTGGATAATTCAAAAATTTTCTCTCCCTTTTGCATATTAAGTGTGTGGAGGATGCAGTGATTTTCATTGTTAGTGTGGCATGAGCTGGTTTTAGGGAGAATATGAGCTTGGCATTGAATGCAGTTGAACCATCTGTTGAAAAAGTAACTCCTCGCACCCCCCCCCCCCTTCCATTCCTGATAGAATCTCCGAGAACAGGTGCATTTTGGTGCTAAGATGTCTTTTCCTTGATATTTTCTAGCCCTCTTTCTAACACAGAGAGAGCAGACTTTAGACCTGAGCAGCATGGTACCCACTTAACAAATTAATACTACAATTTGCTTTTCACTGTTTATTTGTAGAGTTGCCTTCTATATATGGGCAGGTATTAATGATTTTCTTCCTTGGGTGGTGCTATAAAAGCGTCCGTTTTATTTAAGTTTAAAAATGAGTTTGAACTTAAAACATGAACTAAGTGGTATGTGGGAGGATTGTGGGTGTGTCAGAATTGTGCAGGTGGAGTGAGAAAGGCCCACGATGGAGAAGCGCTGTTTCAGACAGGGGGCGCTGTTGAGGTTGTGCAGCAGCAAAGGGGTGGGATCCACAGGCTGATGGGGAATGGCTGATGCCGAGGTGTGTAGAATCTGCTGGAATAAGCCGGGTGGTAGACAGGACTGTGGTTGGGAGCTGCATCGTATTCCAGTTCGGAGGCGAATGAGGTATATCCCAGCCCAGGGGTCAGCAGACTCTGAAACTTAGGGCCACATGTAAATACTTTAAGCTTCTCGGGCCACATGGGCCCCTGTTGGGTGGAAGCAGACATAGGTAATATGTCAGTCAGAGAGTATGGCCACGCTCCAGTGAAACTGTTTGGAAAAGTAGTCCTTGGGCTGGATCTGGGCCATCACTGGCTGACTCCAACCTAAAGCACACAACCCAAGAGGGTGGGAAAGAAGGTTCTGTTTTATAAGAACTAAGTAACCTGCTGGAGAGAGGAGGCAGGACGCTCTGGTAGATGCTGGTAGAAGCTCTGGTAGGTTTGGTCCAGGTGGGTTTTGGGGAGAGCATGATCCCCAGGAGTCTGTGGACTGGGTGGGGTAGCAGGAGGGGGAGGGAAGACCCCCCCCCCCCCCCCAGTTCTACTTTGTGTTCCTGGAGAGTGTGTAGCACTGGACTTTTTGCAGAAGATTGAGGCACACAAGAGTTGGTTGAGTGTCTCGGGCGCCAGGCGCAGTGCTAGGGCTGGGAGTTCAGTGGTGAGCAAGACACACAGTTCCCCTTCGACTTCCTCGTGCGTCTGATTTAGCTTCTGCCAGCCTTGCTGTCGGGGACAATGCAGATGAAATCTCGTGGCGGGCAGTGGGCTCAATAGAACACCGGGGTTTCTGAGCTGTTTCTAGGCATCTGGTACCAGGATGGCAGGAGGAGGGAGGAGTCTAGTTGGAAGGGAGAAAGGTTTAGCAGGGCGTCTGAGCTTCCTTGGGGTGGGCATGGGCCTGTTATCTCTTAATTTAAAAAGTGTGACTAAAGCATTATGTGCATATAATTAGAGGAAATAAAACAGTACAGGGAGAATCGATGCCCAGTCCCAGCCTCACTGCTGTGTATAATGCGTGTGGAACTTACCTCCTTATTTGTGAATAATGCCCTTCCCTATACTTCTGTTTCTGGACTTTATCTTTAGAAGTTGCTCCTTGATTTCCAGCTTTAAAAGATGAGAGTTAGGCATTCGTGGAATATAATGAACAACACAAACTGATGAACAAAAAACAGAACCAGAGACAAAGCATCGAACAGACTGTCCAACCTATGAGGGAAGGCTGGGGGCGGGGGGTGAGGGGGTAAGAGATCAAGCAAAGGACTTGCATGCATGCATATGAGTTACATAACCAATGGACACAGACAGTACGGGGGTGAGGGCATGTGCTGGGGGGGTGGGAGCGGCCTGGGAGAGGCCAATGGGGGGAAAAGGAGACTCATGTAATACTTCAAACAGTGAAGAATCCAAATTTAAAGAAACAAAAAAAGAGGTGAGCGTTAGGGTCATAGATGACATCTCTCCCATTTCATCCCAAGTGACTTGTCACTATTTTATGTCTCTGTGAGTCCCCCGGTCAGATACAAGTCTTACCCTCTGGTTCCTATTCTGCCAGCTCCAGGCAGTCCTGCTCGGTCCCCTGGCGGCCCGTCTCCTCCCTCACTTCTCCTACCCCGTCCTGTCCAGACTCCCACCTTCTCCGCTCCGACTCGCCTTCATTGAGGTTGAGGACGGGAGCTGTTCTGTAACTGCAGTTTCTTCTCGCTGGAGGCTGGGCCCGGTCTGGGGAACTGAAATGCACGGAGCTGTGTTTCTGTCACTGGGGCCGTCCCCTTGGTCTCCGCATCCGTGTGCTGGGATTACACTCCCGTTCCTGTGCGGCCTTGCTTTTTCCTGCAGTTCCTGTCTCCCCCTTGGTCGTGTCTCCAGTCATTTCCTAACGAGCTCTTCACTGTTCTCACTTATTCTATGGAGACCCCTTTCATGCCACTCACTTTTGACGCTTCGGTTTCCGATGTGATTGGTTGGTGTCCTATCATCGGAGCTGAGAACGTGGCTCACTTGACAGCGTGTCTGTAGCCCCCCCTCAGCCCACCGCCCCCTGTGCACCTTCCTCGCCTCCCTCCTCCCTGCTCTGTGTCCACCGAGCCCTGGATTAGCTACTACCTGCCCTCAGCAGTCGGCATTGCCTGGTGCCGCCTCCCACCTTGCTGTGGTCTGGCGCCTGTTTCCCTGGCCGAGTGAGGCTGTTGGCAGAGTTCATGGCTCTGAGGATTTTGCTTTCAAATGTTGAGGATCTGTGGCTTCCAGAGTTGCTTTGATGTCGTGTATATCTCATTTCCACCGGTAACGCCGTGCTGTGTCCAGCGATCCTGCTTATGGTCTCATGTGCATTTTTAAAAAGCTTTAGTCTCCCGTGAACCACTAAGTGCAGAAGCAGTGCTAAGAGCAGTGGCCTAACGAGGGCCAGCAGTGGTGAGCACGTGGGGGTGTGGACTCGAGCGGATAGACTCTGAGGATGCCTGTGCTATCTCTTCAGTTAGCAACAACCTGCCTCTGCCCCAACCGCCACAGACCACCAGCCGCACCCCACCTACCCGGCCCAGAAGTGTAAGTATGACCCCGCCCCCCGGAGCCGCCTGGACTCACTCCTGGCGTGGGAAGGCCGGGGGGTGTGCTTTGGGGGTGTGTCCTCTGCGGTTCTTCTGAGTGATGGGTCTTGCTTTGGCTTGTACTTCTTCGTAACTGGGCCTCTGGTGACCATGGAAACGGCCAGAGCGTACGGTTTAGCTTCTCGAGGGGACATCCTCGCTCTTTTCATAAAAGCTCCCAGGTGAACACTGATCCTCCCCTGCAGTGATCGGCCGTACCAGCTAGCGCCGAGTCCCGTCCATGGGAGGGGGTAGGCCCTACAGGTGCCGGCCCAGCTCAGCCCGCGCCCATTTCTTCTGCTTTCACCTGAGCAGGGGGACTGGATGTGGCGTGACTGCATTGTTGCAGGACTTTCTCACATTTGGAGATGACCATCCACAGCACTCCCCAAAGTCCTTCCAGAAGAACTGATGGTGTGGGCCAAGCAGGTCAAACTCGTGGCTAACACGGGCAAATAAAGAGGCGTGCGGCCTGTAGGCCGCGAGTTTGACATGCTTGATGTAGGCAGTGCAGATCGGGCAGAAGGCTACGGAGAGGTCCAGTCAGGGCTGTTAAGGTAGAGCCGGCCCTTGAGAAGTACAGATTGGTCGTTACAAAATAGGCCGAGGGACATACCGTACAGCATAGGAAATACAGTCAGTAATGTTGTTAATAACTAGGTATGGTGTCGGGGGATCACTTTGTAAAGTTTACGATTGTCTAACCCCTATGCTGTACACCCTAAACGAATACAAAATAATACTGAATGTAAACTAATTGAAAATATATATAAAAAAAGAAATGCCGCCCCCTGACCCCCGCTCCGCAGACTCCTGCCCTGCGGGTCAGTGATGCAGTGACTGAGGAGCTCCTCTGTGTGAGGCCCTCACCTTGGAGATCCTTCCATTCTCTTCCCGGCCCTCCAGACCCTCCAGAAACGGCTCAGGACTAGCCCGGTGATAAGACGCGTCACCCCCCAGACGGTGACATGGCCCCTTCCTCCTTCGTTTCGATTTCTGTCTCTAAAACTTGAAGTTGACGTCTTCAGTCAGCTATTCCCCCCCCCCCCCCCCCCCCGGAGAAATCATAAAAGTTTTGCCCCGTCTGTCTGAGCTGGTAAATGACCTCGGATGTGCAGGACCCGGTGGCTTGCTGCCAGGGCTCCCGTAGGCGCCTGTCCAGGGAGCCCGCGCTCCTGGCCCGTTCGACGGCGTTACAGGTATCGCCCGGCTCTCGGCTCCTCGTTTCTGACTCGCCTGTGGTCTGAAGCTGTCTCGGGTCCGACTCGGTTCCACACTCTCTGGTGCCCTCCGGCTTGTCCTTCCTGGGGCCGGTGGTCTGTGCTCCCAGCTGGCCTTGGCCGCTCTGGTCCACGTTCCTCCTCCTCTATGACCTGCTCCTCTGGGTGGTTTGGTGTGAGTCTGTTTTTCGAGTTTCCTGTAAATGGATCAAAGAAGCTTGAGGTCGATGTAAGTCGGTGGGTCACACGTCACACTTGGGTGCCTTTTCCTGTGCCTGAGGGTGGCTCCAGGCGCACGGGGTGCTTGGGGTCACGTCCTGGGGCTGCCCAGTGTGGGTGCCGCCCCAGAAAGGCCTTCCTTGGCCATTTCCTCTCTGATCTTTGTTCTCCGTGAGCATGACACCCTGTCTTTCCAACCCGCTCTGTTAAGTCCTAAGAAAGGAAGCCGTTCTGCCTTGGTCCTCTGCAGACCACCCCCAGGAGGCAGGGGTGGCAGTGTTCACCCCTCGGCGCTGTGCGGCCTGGGAGCTGAGCCTTTCTCTCTCTGTTGTTTTCCTCCCAGACCATTCCCGGGGCAGCAAGTCCGGCGGCTGGAGCGGCAGCGATGAGAAGCGAGGATCGTCGCGTTCCGAGCACAACGCCAGCGCCAGCGCGAAGAGCCTCCTCCCGAAAGAGTCTCGGCTGGACCCCTTCTGGGACTAGGGACAAGCCGCCCGCCCCCCGGAGGAAGAAGGCAGACCCCGGGCCGCCGGGAAGCGGCGCAGACACGTGAGGCGGGAGACCACCCCCTCCGGCCCGAGGACTCCACACAGACCCGGCCTTTCTTCCCACTGAGGGTCTCACACTACACACGCCCCCCGTAGCTCTGAGGACCGTCCACCCACAGAACTCACGCTTTAGGTGTAAATAATGTACAATTTGTGGATGTCGCTGAACTTAGAGTACCTTCCCCTTTTTATATTTGTATTGACTTTAACTTATAAAAAAGAGAAAAGAAAAAGAAAAAAGAAAGGCGATTAGAAGAACACACCCAACCACACAAAGGACGTTCTGGTGTTGGAAGGGGTGGGCCGTGCCCGTCCGTCCGGAGGCGGCACCGGGACCGTGCGTTCCGGCGCAGGTTCTGTGCTGCCGTGGGCACCTCCCATCAGGCCATCGCCCCTTCCCTTCCCTTCCCTTCCCTTCCCTTCCCGACACCGCGCTCCTGCTTCATCAGATGCGAGCTCCCTGGGCCCGGAGGACGCAGGAGGACACGGGCAGGAGCGCGCTTCTGGGGCGCGACCGACGCGGTGACGCTCCTCCCAAAAGGGAAAACCCAGGGTCCTTGTTTACAGCCGAGAAGCAGAAACCAGCCCCGCTCAGCGCAGCGCAGGAGAGGAGGACACCGGGCGTTTGGAGTCCTCGGGAACCGAGAGAAATCCCTCCTGTGCGCGGTGGCTCCTTCCGACACACTCGCGCTGGGGGAGAGGAGAGGGCTGTGCTTCGCGGCAGGGAGGCCGGAGGCCGGACGCACGCGGAGGACGGCCGAGCCTGGGAGGAAGCATGTCTGTAGTATTTATACGAGGGGATGTTACGTTTTTATGTAAGCATGAAACCAAGGCAGTGTGAGAGGACACGCCCGCCATGCTGTCTGTTACACTACGAACGCTGTGGCCCCATTTTGTTTGTTGTGTAAAACAAAAAGCATTGAGCAAGC